TCATGCTAAATGGAGAAAATTTCAAAGCCTTTCAACTAAGATCAGGAACAAAACAAGGGTGTTCGCTTTCTCTACTCCTATTCAACAGAGCTTAAAGTCTTTAACAGTAAAAGAAATAAAAGGGACAAGCAAGGAAGAAGTCAAAGTATCTCTATTTGTAGATGTTATGACTGTATATAAGAAACCATAAAGACTCCACCAGGAAACTCTTAGAACTGATAAACACTTTCAAGAAAATGACAGGATGCAAAGTTAACGTACAAAAATCAGTAGCCTTCCATATACCAATGTCAAACATACTGAGAAAGAAATCAGGGGAAAATTCCATTCACACAATAGCCTCAACAAAGCAAACAATACCTTGGAACAAACTTAACTAAGGAAGGAGCAGAATTCTACAATGAAAACTTCAAAACACCAAGAAAGAAATTGGAGAGGACAGTAGAAAATGGAAAGACCTCCTATGTTCATGGATAAAAAAAAAAATCAATATTGTGAAAATGGTTGTCCTACCAAAAACTATGTACAGATTCAATGCAGATTGAATCCCTGTGTCATTTTTCACAAAAACATTTTTTTAAATTCAAACAGAAGAACCAAAATAAACCCAAAGGAAAAAAAAAACCCAATAACCGAAGTAATCCTTAGCATAATGAATTAATGCTGGAGATATCACCATACCTGATTTCAAGATATATTACAGCCATAGTAACAAAAAAAAAGAAAGGCATGGTACTGGCATAAAGACATGTAGATCAGTGGAATAGAAAATCTAGATATAAACCCACACAGCTAGAGCCACCTGATATTTGACAAAGATGCTAAAAATGCACATTGAAGAAAATAGCCTCTTCAACAACGGTGTTGCAAAAACTGGATATCCAAATGTAGAAGAATGAAATTTGATCCCTGTCTCTTACCTTGCACAAAAAACAACTCCAAAATGGATCAATGATCTTTTTTAAAAAAAATATTTTTTATTTTATGTGTATGAGTATATTGCCTGCATGTATGTGAGTGTACCCATGTCATGCATGCAATGCCATGGAAGTCAGAAGAGGGCATCGGATTCCCCTGGAACTGGAGTTAAGGATGGTTCATAGCTGCCATGTGGGTGCTGGGAATTGAACCCGGGTCCTCTGCAAGAGCAGTCAGTGCTCTTAACTGCTGAGCCATCTCTCCAGCCCCCAAAATCTTTTTTTTAACTTAAAACGTTTTATTTTTATTTTAGCTTGTGTGTATTAGTGTATGGCCTGCATGCATGTAAGTGCACCCATGCCATGCAATGCCCACAGAGGTCAGAAGAGGGCATTGGATCCCCTGGAACTGGAGTTACCGACAGTTGTCAACCACCACGTGGATGCTGGAAATCGAATCCAGGTCCTCTGCAAGAGCAGCCAGTGCTATTAATCACTGAGCCATCTCTCCAGCTCCTGGATCAAAGAGCTTAATGTAAGATCTAAACCTCTGAAATTTCCCAGGGAAAAAATGGGAAAAGCACTTCAAGATACAGACATAAGCAAGGACTTACTGGGATTCCAGTTGCTCAGGAAATAGGCCAACAATTGACAACTGAGACCTTCTGAAAGTAAAGGTTCTGCACAGCAGAGGAAACAAGTGAGGAGACAGCTGTACAGAGAATATCTAGAATAAACAAGGAGCCCAAAAGCCAAACATGAAATCCAAAAATCCAATCAATAAATGGACTAATGAACAATTCTCTAAAGATGATATATAAATGGCCAAAAAACATAAGAAAAAGTTCAATCTCATTAGTCATCAGAGAAATTCAAATCAAAACTACATTGAGATCCCATCTTACCCCAGTCAGAATGGCAGTCCTTAAGAGAATAATAGGGGGCTGCAGTGATTGCTCAGAGGTTAAGAGTGCTTGCTGCTCTTCCACAGGACCTGAGTTCAGGTCCCAGCACCTATGTCCACTTGTATTTCCAGCTCTGAGGAATCAGAAGCCCTCTTCTGGATTCTACAGGCACTTGCACACAGGTGACACATACACAGGCACACATATACACATAAAAATTAGAACTTTTAAAAAAAGAAAGAAAAGGAAGAAGGAAGGAAGGAAGGAAGGAAGGAAGGAAGGAAGGAAGGAAGGAAGGAAGGAAGGAAAAAGAAAAGTAATGGGCTGTTGGGAGATCTCTGTTATGCAAAGTGGAAGCCCCTTCACACCGGACAGCTCATGCAGCTCAGGTTATGTGCTGCGGCCTCCTTTCATAGCAAGATGTCTTCCTGGCATCTTTCCTGTCTCTCCCTTTGAAGTGGCCGCCACAAATGCCCTAACATAAACATGGCCTCTGGCTCTAAGCAGACCATGCCTTCCTGTGTGATTTTTCCAGGCGGCCAGCAGTCTAGCAGTGTGACAGAAAGCCACTTCCACATGTAAATAGAATGCCTCACAAAGCATCTAACAGCCAAAGCTTTTACCACCACCCCCATGGTATAAAATATCCTAGCCTTCTCTTAATAGTGGGAGATTTGGTCAGAGACTGGGTCCCAGAGATTGGGTCCCAGAGAGAATAAAGCTGTAAGCACAGACTGAGCCGAGCCTTGAGTCTTGTGTACCAGCGACCTGATTCCCCCGGAGGGCAGCACTCTCCGTTACCGACCCACGGACACACTAGTTTTCACCGTCTCTGTACTCCTTCCCTGCGTGGCTCAGTGGCCAGGAGCCTCGCATCCTGAGGAAGAGTACACGGGTGGAATAGAGATGGGATTCCGGCTGGACAATGCTCCAGTAGCAGAAGAAGCTCCAGAGACACAGGCCCGAGCTGCCGCCGGGAAAGCCTGCAGGGCACCCGCGGCTCCCGGAGCCGCCGCTTCCCAGAGCAGTCTGCAGATCCACAGGGAGTGAGTGCACCCTGCGCCCAGAGAGAGCGCAGTCTCCCCATATCGGGCTACGGAGATGGCTCGGTGGGTAAAGCACTTGCTATGTAAGCATGAGGACCTGAGTTTGGGTCCCCAGAACCCACATAAAGCCAGGCATGGTAGCATATGCCTATAATCACAGAGATCCTACAGGAAGGAGGAGGATGGGGACAAGCTCAGGAACCAGCTAGCCTGGAGTACACAGCATAGCAACCAACAAAGAGACCGTCTCAAACAAGGTGGAAGGTGAAGACCAACATCTGAGGTTGTCCTGACTGACCTCCACACATACCACGCACCTGCACTCACACACACACACACACACGCACGCGCGTGTGCACACACACACACAATCATTTGCACACACAAGAAATAAGTTTAAAAAATAAATAAAGCTGGCCAAGGATACTGACAAAAGGGAAATGTTATATGCTGCTGGTGGGATTGTCAACTTGTCAGCCTCTATCAAAGTCCCTATGGAAGTTTCTCAAAAAACTGGTAACAGATCTTCCATGACCCAGCTATACCACATGCTGGATAACTTTAGTTGTCAACTTGACACCCATGAGTAGATAGAACCTCAACTGAGGTATTTCCTCCATTAGATTGGTCTGTGGCCATGTCTGTGGGGCATTTTCTTGACAGCTGAGTGACATGGGAAGGCTCAGTTCACTGTGGGTGTTGCTACCCCTGGGCAGGTGATCCTGTTATTGTATAAGAAAGCAGGCTAAGCACAGGTCAGGGGAGCAAGCCAGTAAGCAGTGTTCTCCATGGTCTGTGCTCCAGTTCCTGCCTCCAGTTTCCTGCTCTGACTTCCCTCAGTGATGAACTGTGACCTGGGAGATGTCAGATAAAACAAATGCTTTCTTTCCCAAGTTTGTTTTGGCCAGTGTTTTTATCACAGTAATAGAAAGTGACTAGGAAAACCACCCTTGGTATTTATCCACAGGACTCTAAGCCAACATATCACAGATACTTGCATATTAAGTTATTGCAGTACTGTTTGCAATAGTCAAATTATGGAACCAACCTAGATGTCAATAGAATAGATAAAGAAAATAGGATATATATATATACACAATGGCAGTTTTTCAACCATAAAGAAGAATGAAGTCATCTTCAGGAAAATGGATGGGACTGGAGATAATCATATTAAGGGAATCATGCCAATAACAGAAAGACAAAGGTTTCTTCTCATTTTTGGTTCTTAGATTTTACATAAATTAGATCTGTGTGTGTGTGTGTGTGTGTGTGTGTGTGTGTGTGTGTGTGTGTACAGTAGAAGTAAAACTGTTTAGGAGAAAAAGGGAACTGGAAGGAAAGGGCAAGAAAAGAGTGGGTGCTTTTAAGGAATATGCACAATATATAATATTCAGAAGCTTGACGAATACAGGAAAAGATTAAAAACAAGACACTCTGAAAGAGTACTCATTTTCACTGGCAGGTTTGCATTTTATTAAGATCATCAAAATCTTTAACAATAAAACAATAAATGTCAAATGACCACAACACCTTCCCTAAGAATCTCTAAGACAGTTTGGGAGCACAAATTCATATAAATTTCTTTTCTGCCTAGCACAGAAATATGTCACACTCTTATGGTTTATAAATAACTGCCAATCTGGCCCAGCTAACAATCTTGATAATCTCTGGTTAAATCCAGACAGGACCTTCATTTCCATCCAGCAAGCATTCTATTATAACTCCATTTCTAAAAGTAGACACTAGAGCTTGGCTCTGGTCGCGAGAGGGGAATAAGAACAGCACGAACTCTCATGATTGGGTGACACGCTGAGTGAGCTCCTTAATTCTGTTCATGCAGTGGTCCACAGAACTAATGAGCAAAGGGATCCAACTATCTTCTGGCTGGGGAGTCACATGACTTGCTCTAGGAATAAAACAGAAGAAAAGAAGTTAAATTTAACACAATGCCAGGGGAAAGCCCACCTCAGGAGTAAGCATCTCCACAGAAACTCAGCTGTGCCACCCCCTACCCCCACCCTTCTCTACTCTTCAAAATGGGGGTCAGAGCAGTTAGTTCTTGAAAATATCTGGACAGGTAATTTTATTCTCAAGCCATCTGGGAGAAGTTGTCATACTTACTTTGTAATTTCAAGTGCCTTTACTAAAACAGACACCAGTTTTGCAGACTAGAAAAGAAACAGAGAAATTACTCACCCTGAGCCTGCCATCAAAAGAATATCTGAAAAGAGCCAAGTGATAAAATAAAAGAATCTTTTATTTTTGTCTTTTTTTTTTTTTTTTTTTTTCCGGAGCTGAGGACCAAATCCAGGGCCTTGCACTTGCTAGACAAGCGCTCTATCACTGAGCTAAATCCCCAACCCCAAGAATCATTTTAAAAAAGAGCCTTGAAGGAGGCTACAGAAATGGCTCAGCAGGGAACAATACTTGCTGAGCAAGCATGAGGACCTGAGTTTGAATTCCAAGCACCCAAGTGAAAAAAAAAGAGTCTTGAAGAAATATACAAAAAAAACCCTGCTGATTAGGCCTAGCAAGATGACTCAGTGGGCAAAGGCACTTGCTGCCACACCAGACAATCTGAGTATGATCCACACCAGACAATCTGAGTATGACCCTTGCAACCTACATGGTGGAAAGAGGGACTCTCACAAGCTTTTCTCTGACCTTCACACACTGCAGTGTGTGCGTGTGCATGCAAGCACGCGCACACACACACACACAAACACACAAATCATAATTTTAAAAAAGCCGATTAGACTAAGGTTAGGTAAGATTATGGATTATTTCCTACTTAGCAAGATCTTATGAATAATGTTGATAATATTTATTTATTTATTTATTTATTTATTTATTTATTTATTTATTTATTTAGGTGTTTTGAGACAGGATCTCCCTGTAGCTCCAACTGGCCTGGAACTCACTATGGGGACCAGGCTGGCCTGGATCTTATAGTGTCTGTCTGCTTCTGCCTCCAGTGTGCTGGGATTAAAGGCATGCACCACCACACCCAGAATGTCTTCATTATTCTTAATATTTTTAATTTGGAATATATAGTCCTAGTTCTTCAAAGACTATGTCAAGAGAATAGTGATTTCAAAGGTAGCCTGAGTTATACAATAAGAATGATTTTTAGGGGCTGGAGAGATGGCTCAGAAGTTAAGAATACCGGCTGTTCTTACAGAAGACCCGGGTTCAAATCCCAGCACCCACATGGCAGCTAACAACTGTCCATAACTCCAGTTCCAGGGGATCCAACGCCCTCTTCTGACCCCTGTGGGCATTGCATGTCATGGGTACATTTCCATACATACAGGCAATACACTCATACACATAAAATAAAAATAATAAATAAAATATTTTTTAAATGTCATTCATAGAACCTTAAGAAGTCCAGTATCTAGGGATCTAGGGATCTGGGGCTGTAGCTCAGTGGTATAGCCCTTGCTTAATATGCACAATATCCTAGTTTAAATCCCCAGCACCACAAAACAAAACAAAACATAAAAAGAAACACAGGATGGATATATGGCAATAACATAAAATAAGACACACACACATATATATACAGATATCACATATTTTTAAATTACTACATTAGATACTGTGTTTGGGACAGCTGATAAGACATCTTCATAAAGAAATTTAGAACTCAGGAAGTCATTTTTTTTAAAGCTAATGCCAAAAAAGAGTTAATACTCCAAAGCGCTTGTTCTACGGAAAGTGGCTACACATTTAATGAATCTACCATCTGAATCTATCACCATCTAATTTATCCAATATTAGAATTGATACATCTCGCCATAAAATTTAAACCATTTGGCAAGTTTACTTCTCTTCCCAATAACATAAGTGATATGAATTGGAGTTTATAGAAATAATACAACTCTAGTAACATGACTGCAAAGAGGGGGGGGAAGGGATGGAGGGAGGGGGAAGAGGATGGAGGGAGGGAGGGAAGGAGGGAAAGGGAGAGGGAGAGAGAGGCAGAGAGAGGCAGGGGGAGAGGGAGAGGGGGAGAGAGAGAGAGAGAGAGAGAGAGAGAGAGAGAGCGAGCGAGCTGTGGAGGGCAGAGACAAGGGGGTGGCTGTAACTTGCTGGCTGCCAGCCTAGCTCCAGGTTCAGTGACAGAAAGACAGTGACAGAACAGGACACTCAATACCCGCTTCTGACTTCTGCACACATGCATGAGCATGTATACATACACCCACAGACACACATACACAATAAATAAATAAAAAATTTTAATAAAAGAATTTGACTCTTTAAAGCACCATTTTCTAAGATCTTTGTGTTTTTCCAAATGATTACCAAGTGGCTAGAGAAGAGAGTAGTATCAAGGCACACAATTATTATAATTCAAATTCAGCCAGTATTTATCAAGCACAAATATATGCAAGAACTGTGAAACTATTCTACCTGCACACGTTTGACAAACATATGTGCTATAGCTTAGAGGAAACACCAGCAACTACTGCAATTCTACCAATTAGGTCCCTACCCATTCCTTCAAAGTTGGTACTTACATTGATCCGCACAGTGAGGTGACACACAGGTGGATATATGCTCAGCACCAAATCATCCACACTAAGAATAGAAGGCAAATTTAACCATTAACCAAAAAAAAGACAAAGTTCAGCTTGATTGCTTCGAGTATACAAATAAGTTGGTTCATTAATTTGAATAAGCAGACAAGCAATCCAGAATCAATTCAACCAGTATTTACTGAAACAACATACCCAATTTTACTAGGAACCTGAGGTAAAAATACGCTTGATTCACAGGATGAAGCATGGTCAGTTCAGTTAAAACAAGAGGATTTGAAATAATTTAGTAATGATATTGGCAGGGTTCATCAGTGAAAGCTAACTAAACATGCTGGGTTAAAGGTGCTTTTATTAACGAGTCCACCACTTTAACCATGTGACCAAATTTAGTGCCACCAATAAGAAGAAACCAACATCATATTCTTTCCTAACAGGATGTAGAGGGAAGCACAAAACACTCAACTAAATGATATTCTTGCCCAAAAATGTTTAACTTTACTATAATTATGAGAAAATAATCTTATAAATCCAAATTGTTGTACATTCTACAAGAGAAGTAACTTGTGTAATTTTGAAATGGCAATCTCAAATCAAACCAGAAGGGCTGGAGAAATGGCTCAGTGGTTAAGAGCACATACTTCTAGCTCTTGCAGAGGACCCAAGTTCAGTTCCCAGCATCCACATGACAGCTAGCAAACCACCTGTAACTCCAGTTCCAGGTGATATGACACAACCTTCTGGCCTCTGCAGGCACCAGCATTCACATGCACAAACCCACAGACATACACATTATAAAATAATAAATCTAAAAAAAAAAAATCAGACTAGGAAGGATAGGGATTGTTCTAGATTTCAAGAAACTTAAACAGATGAGATGTTGGAGAAACTGAATTTATGTCAGATATTTTGAAACAGATGGAAAGATGTGTTAGATATTATTATATACAATATTAAAGTTCTTGGATGTGATACTAAGAATGTCTTTGCTCTTGGAAAATGGCTGCTAAAATATTTTGGGTGAAAAATCATTTATGTTTATAATTCTTAAATGGTTTAAGAAAAACATATGGTACCTATTTATCAAGGAATAAAAATGGGGGTGTGAATAGGTAAATAAAGGATATAGGGCTATTTACTGAGGTACTTTTTCAACTTTCCTAAAAATCTGAAAAATTTCAAAATATAAAAAAGTGAGGAAACCCACAGAGTGGCAGCACAAACTCAGATCAGAATGCTCCTGTTACCTCAAGTGGGACACACACTCACCTGGGGCTGATTTCATCACAAATATCCACAATGTCATCCAGCTGGGCCACCTGATCCTTCTTCCCATTCTCTGCCACTAGGATCCGGATTTTCTTGAGGGAAGCTTTGGATGCTCTCACCAATGCAAGGCATGGGATTATGAGCTCTTGATCTTCCTCTGACCAGTATGAGTCCTGATTGCTTGGAAACCCCAACACACTGTTCTCAGCATTGTGGCTGTCAGAGTTGTCCCCATCAGAATCATTCAAGAGACCACAGTAAGGGTCACATTCTTCCACAGCCTAAGAAGTACCATGATATATGTCAATGCAAACACATAAAACCACCACCATTAGCGAACTCTTCAGTAACAGCTACAAAACAGAATCCTTTCATAAACCATGTTCTCACTGTCCTTGTCCAGCAATGGAATAGAGAGGAATGGTATTAAGGACAGGAAGGAGTATGGTGAGAGATGGAAGACAGGACAGGAGTGGAAATGAGATTATTGAATCAGATTTCTGGAAAGTCCCTGTCAGTTTTCATCTACTCGTGACGGAGTTGCTTTCCAATGACCAGGAAAGATAGGAAAGTTCTCTCACCTGCTCAATTTCTTCATGTGCATCCTTCACAAAATCTACACTCTTGGTCAGCATTAAAAGGGCTGCAGCTTTGTTATCTGAGTGAAAAACCAGAAGCACTAGAATCAGAGAAGCCTAACCATTCTCTTAAGACCACAAAACTGCTTTAACGTAAAGCTCTTCTCACTACATCTCTGCTACCTACACAGATGCTAAAAAGTTTTTTTAAAAAACCCACAAGAAGAAATGAAATGGTCTCATGATGTTTCTTATCACAGTCCTCTTGATAACCAGTTTTAGTCTGCCTGGCTCTACTTTATACCCACCTCTGGGTGCTCCCCAATCCTGCTCCTGGAGCAGTAACAGAATAAGCCATATCTATTCAACAAGAGACAGAGCCATAGCAAGAGAAGTCTGAACTTAAACAGGGGTTGACGATAGAGCTGAGTGATAGAGTATTCACCTGGCATAGCCTGGGTTCAATCCCAGCACTGCCAAAACAAAACAAAACCAAAAATCAGTATGAGAAATGGCAAAAAAGTACTAAAACCTATTAATACTGATGGTAAACTATAGATTACATCACTAAACTCTATAAAAATTAAAACACAAAGTCAGGCATGGTGGCATATACCTTTAATCCCAGCACTCAGAAGACAGAAGCAAGTGAATCTCTGAGTTCAAGGCCAGCCTCATCTACATAGCGAGTTCCACACCCGCTGGGGCTACAGGGAGACTCTGTCTCAAAAAAACCAAAAAGAGAGAGAGAGAGAGAGAGAGAGAGAGAGAGAGAGAGAGAGAAAGAGGAGGGAGAGGGAAAGAAAGAAAGAAGAAAGAAAGAAAGAAAGAAAGAAAGAAAGAAGAGAGAAAGAGAGAGAGAAAGAAAGAAAGAAAGAAAGAAAGAAAGAAAGAAAGAAAGAAAACACATGTGCTACAACACTGGAAGTTAGATATAAGAGGCCTCTCTGCTTTGGCCAGCAGCTGGTGGTTTACTTCCCACTCTTACCCACCTTTTGGTATCTTGGGCACCTGCTCGCACGCAACCCAGACGCTGTTGCAGGAAATAAGGTCACTGTTCTCAGGACTAGGAAAAGGAATTAATACGGACAGATCAATAACCTAGGTTCCTGTCTTTCCTGTCTCCTAAAAGCTTCCCTCCTGCTCATCATCATTGTCAGCTATCAATAACTTTGTGGTAGGGATGAGTTTTCCCTCCAAGTTGAGGAAGCCCGTTGACTGTTATACCACACTGTGGCACTCCTACCTCTGAGCTGGAGGGAGAAGCAGCACTTCCAGGAGCTGAGCCATGCCATCCACAATGTCCACAGCGGCACTCCGCACCAGCTTTCTCAGAGTGATTCCTATCACCAAATCCAAACAGTAAACAGCCTGGCCTTCACGAGTCACTATGTGCTTACCTGAGTCTTTGCATTATGGAACTATGAGGTAACAGGCACCCGCATGCTTTACATCACGTGCCACTGCAAAACTCAGGTTTTATATCATTGTGCCATTCTATTGCCCCTTCCACCATTCCTTAGAGCTGTTCTCCAACTGTTTTGGGACAAAATCTTTCCATACATATGTATTCATAGGCACTGGTCCTCTGTCAATGGTAGATAAAACATTGGAAACTTAAGTCATTTGAGTAACCCCGAGAACTATGACATGTATACATTTATAATTTTGACATAACTATAATCAAGGCATAAGACTGGTGGATCCTTAACTTGTGAAGGAATATAGAAATAGGGTGTGATGTAATACAAGTGGAGAAGGGTAGGGATGGCCTGAGCATGGGTGTGGAGCTGAGATTCAGCAAGCATCTGTAGTAGTTAGAATGAGTTGGAAAGAGAAGTGAAATTAGGACCTAGGAAAATAACATAGTCAGTAAAGTGCTTGCCACAGAAGCATGAGGGCCTGAGTTCAATCTCCAGAACTCATATAAAAAAGCCAGGCAAGGTATAATCTCAGCACCCAGGAGGCAAGACAGGAGGGTCCCTGGGGTTCACTGGCCAGCCAGCCTTAGTTGAATTGGTGAACCCCAATGAGAGATTCTGACTCAAAAACAATCAAAATAACAAAGAACAAACAAACAAAAAAACCCAAGATAGACGGCTCCAGAGGAATAACACTCAAGGTTATTCTATGGTCTCTACATGCAGGTGCACGTGTGCATAAACACACACACAAAAATGTGCATACACATGTGCATCTGTGTGCACACAAACATATATGTGTGTGCACCTACACACGTGTAAAATTTAAAAAATTGAAGAGAAACAAATTTAAAGCCTAAAGGCATTGTGGTGCCTTTAATTCCAGCACTCAGGAGACTGAGGCAGGTGGATCTCTGTGAAATTGAGGCCAGACTCTGTAAATATTGAAGTCCAGGTCAGCTGGGGCTATAGGAAACAAAAGCCTTAAGAGTCAGGCAGGGAGTCAGGAGTGTAATAGCTTAGTAGGTAAATGTGCTTGACACTCAAGCCTGATAATCTGATCCCTAGAACTCATGATGGAAGGAGAAAACCAATGCCCCAAAGTTGTCCTCTGACCTCCACATGTATACCATAGCATGAGTGTGTACACACACACACACACACACACACACACACACACACACACATTTTTAAAGAGTCAGGCGAGACAGGAGCAATAATGTCAGGAACACAGCATCTGTACCTTAGTATAATGGAGTGCTTACAGAAGTCACTCGCATTGTAAAATTATCCTTGACTCTATTTTATAGGGGAAAGTTAAATATTTAAAACTGAAGAATGATAAACATCTCAGGATATAATCCACTGTATAAGCAATCTATTAGCTATCTATATAGCCTACAAATGCAATGCCAAAGTATATCCAATGACTTACCCTCATCCTTAGGAAGTGAATAGTATACTGCAATAACTGCCTTGATGGCAACATGGACTTGTTCACAGATCCTTTGGGTTTCCTATGAAGTGATGGACCAATGTCAGAATAAAGAAAGCAAATAAAACCAGGCATGGTGACACATGCCTTTAATCATAGCACTTGAGAGGCAGTGGCAGATGGATTTCTGTGAGTTTCAGGTCAGCTATGGCTACATAGTGGGAGGGAGGGAGGGAGGGAAGGAGGGAGGGAGGGAGAGAGAGAGAGAGGGAAGAAGGAAGGAAGGAAGGAAGGAGGAAGGAAGAATGAAGGAATGAAGGAAATAGTTTACATCAATGCTGTCAACCTGTTTTACTGAGGAAGAGATCAGACATCTGTACAGTATCATCAAATGTTTTCTTAAATTCTATTAAGTGTCAGGCTTTTATACCATACTCATCCATACCAGAAAGGGGTTAGCAAGACATCAAACAATGTCTGACAATTCAATAAAACATTACAAAACAGAAGGAAACACTTATTTCTGTTATTTTATATCCTAAGTATTTATGCTGTGCCATAAGATAGACAGTCACTGTGTTTAGGGTAGCAAATTATGGTCCTGAGGGGAAAGCAAGCCCACTGTCAGTTTTGGTAAAGGAAATATTACTAGGACACAGTCATGGTCAACAGTTGTTTGCAGTACAAGGGCAGAGTTAAGTAGTTGGCTTACAAAGCTCAAAATATTTAGCATCTGGTCTTTTATTCAATATAGACCAACCATTATTATCAGACCCATTAACTAAGTCTTTGCTCTCATTCACCTCATCTTTTTTCTTATTACCAACCTTTAAAGATATGCAGAAGAGAGTGTTTATCACTGTAGTTGGATACAGCAGAAGGAACTTTTTTTTATCATTTAAAAACATTCAGATAGGGCTGAGGGTGTAGCTCAGTGGAGGAGTGTTTGTATAACATGTGTGAGGTCCTGGGTTCAATCTCCAGCACCACAAAAATAAATATACAAACAAATAAATAAAAATAAGACATCTGGATGTGTAAAGAGACTTGAAACTACTACAAAAATCAAGGCAACAAACATTTTAAAATCACCCACTCTCAGCTGGGCGTGGTGGCATATGACTTTAATCTCAGCAAATCTCTGTGAAATCAAGGCCAGCCTGGTCTACACAGCGAGTTTCAGGTCAGCTGGGGTTACAGGGAGACCCTGTCTCAAAAATAAATAAAATTAAATTAAAAAAACAAAATAACTTACTCCCAACAACCTGTAGCTCTAGAAAAATATGGGCACAGGGCATTCCTGATCAAAGCCAACATCTATTTTTATTTTCAGTTATAAAATGAAAGATTGTTAGAATGCATTAATTTTTTGTTCTAGCAATTTCACCTCTGCAAGTTTTTCCTACCAACACACATAATATACACAAATATTATTAGACAATTAGACCATAGCACCATTTACAACAGTTGCAAGTTGGAAACAGTCTAAAATGTCCACATAAGATAATGGTTAAATTGTGGTTACAGTTATTCCACTTAATACCAAGCAGCCATTACAAAGATCTGAACAACTTTTTATGAGCTGCTAAGAATCAACATCTATGCTATATTAATTTAAAAAATTTTAAGGTCAAGAACAGTGTTTATACTGCTGATCATCTGTGTGAAAAGCCATACATACACACACATATATATGTACATATATGTACATGAATGTATACATATGTAGACTATGATAAATTACATGAAATAATACAAAAGTAGATGAGAATGAGAAAAGATGAACTGGGTGGGAGGATGGACACATTCTAATACACTTTGTTATCTTTTGAAGTTTAAATCATCTTCATGTTACTGATTAAATAAAAATACAGGGGCTGGAGAGATGGCTCAGTGGTTAAGTACACTGGCTGTTCTTGCAGAAGACCTGGGTTCAAATCCCAGCACCCACATGGCAGCTAACAACTGTCCAAAACTCCAGTCCCAAGGGATCTGACAGCCTCTTCTGACCTCCGCGGGCATTGTACGACACCAGTGCACTTACCTACATGCAAGCAATACACGCATACACATAAAAAAATAAAAATAAATAAAAAATACAATACAAAAGGGTTCTAATAGGTGCATCTTAAACATTGACTGGGTAGACTTCATTCAACTCCACCTCCACTGCTTATTAATCTTGACCTGAGCCTCTAAGCCTGCTTCCTTAGTCCAGATGAGGGTATGAGTGTGAAACAGCTATAAATTAACAAGGGCTTAAAAAGCTGGGGGGGGGGGGCGGAACGGGAGAGATGGTTCAGCGGTTAAGAGCACTGATTGCTCTTGCAGAGGACCCAGGTTCAATTCCCAGCACCCACATGGCAGCCACGAACCGTCCTTAACTCCAGTTCCAGGGGAATCCAGAAGCCCTCTTCTGACCTCCGCGGCATTGCATGACACGGGTGCACCCACATACATGCAGACAATACACTCATACACATAAAATAAAAATAATGAATAAAATATTTTTTTAAAGTTATGAGGAAATAACCTGGCTGAATTTCAGATTGAATTTAGACCTGCCTTCTCTGTGCATTTGGTGATTTGGTCTTCTCAACAATCCGTGAGGTAAGAACTGTGATCTCAGTTAACCGATGAGAAAAATACATCTGGTTTGAGTGTGAAAGGTTCCTAATAAGGAGGCAGCACAAGAATTCCATAAAGTGAAGCTCACCTGTGGAGATGGCACTGGGAGTCGAGAGAAGACTGTGGTTAGAGTAGTGGCTTCCCCTGACACTTTCACTGCGGCTTCATCTGGGGGTGGCAGAGATGGAGGCAAGTGCCCCAGTAGAGCGAAAAGGTTAAAAGCTGCAACGGCCACACCGATTTCTTAAATAACACGCCCCGTCTCAACCCTTACAGTTTCCAAAAAATAACTCCAGAAATCATTTTATATCTCAGCCTCAACTGCTCAGGATTGGTAGCGGAGGGGACGCGGCGCGGGAGGGTATTCACCTCCTGAGCCGACAGCAGAGAGGAAAGGGGTCAGGATGCAAGGATGCAGGGATGCAGGAATGCAGGGGAGGTGCGACAGGAGAGACACTCACTGAGTCTTCTCCAAAACACCTCTGGATTGAATTCCTCGGTGGTCTCCCGGGCTTCGCCAACTTGAGAGTGTAGCGTGGGAGGCGGGCCAGAGCGAAAGGAAAAGAAGGGGTGAGCAGAACCGCCTCCCCCGCGCCCCTGGGCCCGGACCGCCCTACCCGAGCCCGCCCGCGGCCACTGCTCACCCCGCACTCCAGGCAGCAGCAGCCGCAGCTGCGCTGCCAAGTGCCGGAGCTGCTCCACCGGCGGAGCCAGGATGCGGCCTGCCCCGGCGGCGCTGGCCATCGCAGTCTCCCACAGGGTACTACGGTAGATGCTTAAGTCATACAGCGACAGTCGCAGCACTTCCGGTACTAAAAACCCGGGTCGTTTCCGGCAACAACTCAGCGCGCTAGGCCGCTTCCGTCCCAGAGATCAGGCCACGCCTTGCTACCCGGCCACGCCTCCTCCACGCTCTTGCCTCCCTTGCCCTCCTAGATGCCCCTCCACGCCTTTCCTGTCTTCCCTAGATACCCAGCCACGCCTCCCCTATTCTCCTAGACGCCCCGCCACGCCTCCCCTGCCTTCATTAGATGCCTGGCCACTCCTCCCCCGCCCTCCTAGAGACCAGGCCACGCCTTCCCCACCTTCTCAGAGACCTGGCCACTCCTTCCCAGAGCTGTACACACCAGGCCCACTTTCCAGTTACAAGAGATTTAGCTACATTGCAGTTCAGTTTGAGATATTTTTTATTATCATTCATTTATTCATTTGATTAGTTGAAAACATTCCCGACTAAGGAAGAGGAAAGCCCATAACGGTGAGGGAAAATAGGGCTGGGAAATAAAAATCTCAAAAGTGGTCAGGGTCCAGCCCAAGTCCACACAGGTTCCCTATGTACAAAATGGCATCCTGGACAGCTGCTGAGTTCCAAGCATGGGCTGGATGTTTTGCACAGGATAACCCTAATAAACACAGTAGGTCTGAGGTATTTGAACACACAACACAGCCCTTACTCGGGATCTCCTTGATTAGGGCTCTTGGTCCCCTGAGGAGGAAAGAATCAAGTCATTATCGTTTTCTGCAGTCCACACTGCAAGAATCAGTAGTAACACTTCCAACATCCAAATGTTCAGGGAGCAGCAGCTCTCTGAAGCTCACCTACTGATACTGGTTTTCCATCTGCCTCTGGGGCAGAGGTCCAGCCTACAGATGTGGAGGCTGGACTTCTGCCAGGTTCCCAGTTTACAGTAAGCCATGGACTTCAGGAGCTCAGATGACTTTTTAACTGCACCATGAAGGTTCCAAGTTCAGTGGTGTTCAATGTCCACACACAACGAATGAGTACGGGTGTCAGCAGTGTCAACCAGGTCCTCAAAGGAGAGAATATAAAAGCTAGAGTGCCATATGTCACATGAAGAAAATAGCAAGAATAAATCTGCCATATGTACAGCAGCAGCACAAGTAGGTGGACAGGTAGAATCTTCAAGTATTTTCCTCGGTGGAGATGAGACCTGAAGTTGTGACCAAAGCAACGCTGCAGCAAGCTCCAACATAGGTAAGCCATTAAAGGGACATTAAAGAACACCAGCTAGAAAAAAAGAGGACAAAACCATTAATTTACCACCAAGCCCTGGAAAGGGTCATGCCTCACTACTGGTGAGGTTCCTAAGAACATGTTGCATTCCATCTTTGGGTAGATGTCTATTATTTTTCTTTTTTGGGTGCAGGGAGGAGGGCTGGGGATTGAACTCAGGGCTTTGCACATGCTGCACATTCAGTGCTGAGCTACATCCTCAGCTCTTATATGTCTGATTTTTAATGTGCTGATCATACCTGTTTGTAATACAACAGTTGGCCTGCAGTTAATTGTGTATCTGCCTGTTTCCTTTTGTTCATCTTAAAGGTAAGTGTCATTTATGTTGAAGTCTCTATTTGTAACATAGGGTTATATACAGCAGATACCAATAGTATAAAATAGTGTTTAAATTGGAATTAAACTGAGCAATCTGCACACACAACAGTGTATATATTCTCTGTTGGCAAAGTGAAGGAAGGACTTGGGTATCAGTATGTTTCAGATAGCATGTCGAATACTGAAATATGATTATATATGGTTTTATTCTGAATGACTCATTTGGTCACTCAACAAATATTTATCCAGCACCCATTACATAGCAGACATTGTTAATAGACTCTAGTTTAGGGACACACTAGTGAACAAGAAAGAAATGCATTATAGACAAGTATATAGGCATGCACATATATACATATATATTATAGACAAATATACATATATTTACAAAAAAGATAATTATAGATTTTGATAAGTCAAGGAAGAAAATAACTAGATCACAAGAGGGAAACCAGGCTCTTTGAAGCATAAAGGACAGCAATGAGGGGCGTGTACTCTGAGAAGAAGAAACAAATGAAAAGCCCAGGGCTGGGAGGAGCCTGGGTCTCTTTAAGGTCATACCTGCTAACCACTGAGCAAGGTGGAAATTGGAGGTAGAGCCATAGGCTTGAGATGGAAATCAAAATTCTTATCAGAAACATTAAGGTGAGATGCCTATTAGACATCTAAGGGAATACATAAAATGGAAGTTGGGATATAAGCATTTGAAGACCAGAGAAGTAGTCTAAGTCAAATAGAAGCTTGGTATAATATATAAAGTCCATTATTATTTATTTCAAAATGAATGACTGGGCTGGGGAGATGGCTCAGTGGGTAAGAACAATTATTGTACAATAATGAAGACCTGGGTTTAGATCACTAGCATCCACATAAAAAAAGGCAGGGTGGGTGTGGGAGACGGGCAGAGGCAGAGACCAGGGGATTCTTGGGCTTGCTCATCAGCCAGCCTAGCCAAGAAAACAGTTATACTTCAGTGAGATACGTCAGGGAATAAGGAAAAGAGTGATAGGGCACTGATGTCCTACTCTGGCCTCTGTGTGCACTCTCCGCACATACACAAACACTACATACATATACACACAAAATACAAAATGAATGTAAAAATTTACAAAAAAATACTTCTGCCTTTTGGTTAAGACTTGGTTTCACACCAGGCGTGGTGGCACACACCTTTAATCCCAGCACTTGGGAGGCAGAGGCAGGTGGATCCCTGTGAGTTTGAGGCCACCCTGGCCTCCAGGCCAGCTGGGGCTACAGGGAGACCCTGTCTCAAAAAGACCAAAAACAAACAAACATACAAACAAAACAAGACTTGGTTTCACCTGGTATAAGAGTCTTTCAAGAGCCAGACTCCATCCAGATAACAGAAAATGAACAGGTCTTGGGATGCAGCTCAGTGGGTTAGCATGTGTGAGGCTTTGTGTTCAATTCCCAGAACCCAAAAAGAAGAAAGAGAGGAGGAGAGGGAAGGGAGAGGGGAGGGAAAAGGAAGGGAAGGGTAGAGGGGAGGAAAGGGGAAGGAAGGGAAGGGGAGGAGAGAGGGGAGGGAAAGGGAGGGGAGGGGAGAGGAGAGGAGGAGAGAGAAGAGGAGAGGAGAGAAGAGAAAACTGGACTAAGACCTCCTCACATCTGTAGAATGTTGTGGCTTGGGGACTGGGGTTAGTACCTGCTACTTGTAAAAGTCTTCCTTACTTGGCTGTCTCTAATCCTGCTAACTTGTTTTTATTGTCCTGTTAGAAGTCTTAAATTAATTTTGAATATTCTTTTTAGGTTCCTCCCAAATTATACATATTTTGGCCCATAAGCTCTATTAGGTAAAGCAAAGAAAATAATTTGCAAATCTGTTTATGAAGTTTGCTACAGATCAGAAATTTTGTGTGTGTGTGTTGCTTTGTTTTAAAGGAATCAAATGTAAACCTAATATATCAGCGTTTTCAAACAAGACTGTTTGGAAAGGGGATGTACCATAGATTGTTTCAAATACACAGTGCCATCTTTTATATTTGTTCTCGGGGCTGGAGAGATGGCTCAGTGGTTAAGAACACTGGTTGTTCTTGCAGAAGACCCAGGTTCGAATCCCAGCACCCACTTAGCAGCTAACAACTGTCTGTAACTCCAGTCCCAGGGGATCTGACAGCATCTTCTGACCTCCATCGCTATTGCATGACACGGGTGCACTTACCTACATGCTGGCAATACATGCATACACATAAAATAAAAATAATAAATTAAATAAATAAGTAAATAATCTCTGTTAAGACATCATTTGAAAGCCCAGGTTTGCTTGTTGTCTGGTGAAGTTTTCCCTAAATAATTGACCTACTTTTCCTTAGATGTCTATTTTTTCTTTTCTTTCCTATGAAACATTTTTGTTTTTTCTTTATCACAATCACTATTTTTCTTGGAAATGTATAATTTATTCTACTACAGGTCTCTTCATTTTCAGCAATTAAAAAAACAAACAAACAAACAATGAAACAAATGACAAAAAATCTCTTTCACTCCTGAACAACTCTGAATGGCCAGAAAGTACTTTAGATGTTTACAATCGCTTCTTTGCATTTTGGCTAAAATCCAGTGTAAATGTGACAAAATAACAGTGGGGAGGGGGTGGAGAGATGGTTCAGCAATTAAGAGCACTGGCTATTCTTGCAGAAGACCTGGATTCAAATCCCACCACCCACATGGCAGCTAACAACTGTCCATTACTCCACAGTTCCAGGGAATCCTATGACCTCTTCTGTCCTCTGTGGGCACTACACGACATGGGTGCACTTACATACATGCAGGCAATACACTCATACACATAAAAAAAATAGTGGAAGAAAACAGGAAGTGAACAAAACATCAGCTATTACACATTGCCCTGCAGGTAACATAGGAACGATGATGTACGGTACTAATTTGGGATTTAGTATTTGACTCATAACTGTAATATAATTAGTTCAACAAGGCTAGGATGTTCTGGAAGTTGGGAGTTCTTACCTGGATAATTCCACTTATAAATGTTAGACTGCCTTGCAGGAAATGTCCATTAACAAACATCCCAAAGGAAAAGCAGCAACCTAATTTTCCATCAATTATTTCACCAATAAACCATGGTCCTGAGAAAGTAATGAAGCAGAAGATTAAAAAAACTAAGAATCTGGGCCAGTGAGATGGCTCGGCAGGTAAAGGCACCTGCTGCCAAGCAATTCCTTGGACCCACATAGTAGAAGAAGAGAACTGACTTCTGCAAATTGTTCTCTGACCTCCACATGCATGCTGTGACACATGCACCCTCATACACATTCATACATAAACAAAACAAATTAAAATGAAATATAGGCTGGGCATGGTGGCACACGCCTTTAATCCCAGCACTTGGGAGGCAGAGGCATGCAGATCTTTGTGAGTTTGAGGCCAGCCTGGTCTACATAGTGAGTTCCAGGACAGCTGGGGCTACAAGAAGACCCTGTCTCAAAAAGACAAAAAAAGAAATATAAATTATGAGTCTGATTACATACTTTATGAAATATCTATACAGGGGTAATCAAGAAAAACAAGACAAGTCATCTAGAAGCATTTTATTTCATAGCATTTCTTTGTGGTTAATCACTATGTTGCACCTGACATCCCAATCAACTATTTTCTCCACACTTTTCTGGATTATAAAATAGTTTCAGTCTATGATGTACTTGAAACAGATTTGCAGCTTGTAGATTCTAAAAACAATATCACACTCATAAGACCTTTTGTGCTGGATAAATTTGGTGTCAACTTGACACACCTGGGTTGAGGGCGCCTCAATTGGGGAATTGCCTCCATAGGACTGACTTGTGGCCATGTCTGTGGGGCATCTTCTTGATTGTTGAGTGATGGGGGGGGCAGCCCACTGTGGGTGGTGCCACCCCTGGGCAGGTGGGCCTGTGTTGCATAAGAAAACAGGCTGAGCAGGGGCCAGGGAACAAGCCAGTAAGCAGAGTTCCTCCCTGGCCTAAGCTCCAGTTCCTGCCTCCAGGTTCCTGCCCTGAGTTCCTACCTTGGGTTCCCTGATGAACTGTGACCCAGGAGATGTAAGATAAAAAAACCCTTGCCTCCCCAAGTTGGTATTGGTCAGAGTATTTTGTCACAGCAATGGAGAAACAAACTAAGGCACCGTTAATATTTTATTGTAATAACCTTAATATAATGCATTAACATTTTCTTTAAGAAACAAACATTACTGAAATTCTTGAAACTGAGATTTACTATTTAAAGCAATCAAATAATTATTTTTAAAGGTTTATTTTTGTTATTTTAAATTATGTATATGTGTACAAGTCTGTGTGTATGTGCATGTGAATGCAGGTACCTACAGAGACCACAAGTGTCAGATCCCTCTGGCTCTAGAGTTACAGGCAGTTGTGTGTTGCCTGAGGTGGGTGCTGGGATCCAAACTTGGGTCCTTTGCAAGAGCAGTATGTGCTCCTAACCACTGAGTCTTCTTTCTAGCCTGCCTTCAGGGTTGTTAATGAAAACCTTCATGGACTTCTCCTTCTTACTGCTGATAGACTTTTCTGAGTAAGAAAAGTCATTGTGTTGTACATCAACTATGTAATCAGAGTTAACATGCATAGTTTAATTAGCCACACTGACTAGTCTCTAATCTCTATTATTAACTGCTCCTTCTTAGTGTCTGGGTTTCTGGAATTACTATATTGTCAAGAGTGATAGGGATTGTCAGACTTCCCTTCTCAAGATGCAAATCTATCATATTCTGCTTTTTAAAAAGCCATAGGAAATAGTCTCAGATACACATTATGAAAACTCCTTTAGTTTCAGTTTTTCAAACAGAGCAACTTGTACTTGTCGATTGATTGACTGACTGACTGGCTGATGGCAGGCAGCTCAGGAACCAAATCACTTGCTTTACCCCATAGTGTAAGACAGGTATTGAAAACAGAGTCAGGATATTTTCTAACATGAACTTACCCCCAGAGACAACATGATGCAATTTACTATAAAAAGATATAGTATCATATGTTTAATTTGTTCTTTGGTGTAAGTTACTAACGATCAAGTCTAAAGGTGGAATAAAAGTATAAAATAAAGACTAAGACTAGGTAACAAATAGACTAATCTACTCCTAATTGACTTTTAGCCCTTGTAAAAGATGAGCAAAAAGCCTAAAAGAGAACTGTAATGCTTTCTGCTTCTACATTAAAACACTATTTCATTTACTATTACTGTTGAGTGTGGGGCCTGTGTGTGTGTGTGTGTGTGTGTATAGGTGCACATATGCCATGGTACACATGTGGGGCTCAGAGGACAACTTCCAAGAGTCAGTTTTCTTCTTCAACTGTAGGTTCTGGGGATCAAGATCAGGTTGTCAGGCTTGTATGGTAAGTACCTTTACCCACTGAGCCATCGTGCCAGACCAATTTTCTTGTTGTTTTATTTTTGAGACAGGGTCTTATGTAGCCTCCTGAGTGCCGAGATTACAGTGTGTGCCACTATACTTGACTATCTGCTTCTATAAGTAGCTAAATGACTTCCTAAAGATCAGGTATAATAGTACAACAGACTATCTCAGAACCCATCCCTCATCTCAATATCTCTCTTTTTTAAGATGAGTTTTTTGGTTTTGTTTTGTTCTGTTTTGTTTTTGAGACAGGGTCTCATTATGTAGTCCTGGTTGGCCTGGAACTCACCATGTAGACCAGGCTGGCCTCAAACTCACTGAGCTCCACCTGCCTTTGCCTCCCAACTGCTGGGATTAAAGATGTCTGCCATCATGCCTAGCAAGAAGAGCCACATATTGATAAATATTCACGAGCTACATACTTAACATTGGGCTTAGTGACTGGCATATATAGGTAAATTAGACAGACAAGATGCTGATGGATATTCTAATAAGCAAACAGAGAAACAGAAAATAATCATAAATCCTGACAAAGGTAAAAAAGTATGATAAAGCTTTTAAGATAGTCAAAGAAAGCTGCTTTGAGGAAATGGCATTTAAGCTGCACTTTTATCTTCTGTTATGTTTCTATACAAATATATAGTAGAGCGCATGCCTAGCAGGCACAAGGCCCTGAATTCTGTCCTTACCTCCAGGAAAAAACAAAACCAAAAAACACAGAGAGAAAATAACAAAAAAGACCACCACCACCAAGAACAACAAATCATAAGGCAACAAATACTAATTTTTTAGTCTCTTTAGCACCTATCTTAATGTTGACTACATGTCCTTTCAACATTTTTAGGAAATAACTATTTTTTTAAACTACAATCCAGGAAATGATTTATGAAGGACTTATATACCATTTTACACTTCAAAAATGTAAAATGTAAAAATTATTCTGTTGTCAAAATTCTCAATATAGTCTTTGGCAAAATTCCCCAGAATCTCAATTTTATTAATTTACTTACCCAGTACTGTATATAAGGTCAGCAACAACACTGAATAGTAGAAGACGTTTATTTTGCTCAAGATATGAAGGGAAAATGAAGTCAGATTTATAAATCCCGGAGGTTCTAAACAGTAGAAAAAAATTAAACCCCATAAACACATGCAAAGTTCATTTCTTTGTAACATTTTTCTAGAAGACCTCCATGGGCTACCTACTCCACATTCAGCAAATCTTTTGTTATATGGTTACTATATAGATGATACTATACTTAAATTCAGAATCCTGGGGAACCAATATACACAGAATTACAGGTGCTAGAAAGTAAAAAAAATTATTGTGTTGTGAGATGTTAACTTAAATGACAGGCACACCTGCCAGAGGCCTACCCTATTTTATCCTTATGTAGGTTTGAAAGATAGTGCTATGTTCAAAGGATGATCAAATCATCACTAGTTTTCACAGGATTTGGTTTCCAAGTGTACAAACTTCTAAAAGAGATATAAAATATATAAAAATTTCTCCATTCTATATTAAATATGAGCATCTGTCCAAGTAGCCCTTTCTCCTATATGAGAGTTTTTAATTCACGGCTGTTCTTTCACCTGTAAAACTCTACTAATTGACAGACAACACAGACCTAGGAATGAACTATGCAGGGGTACAGTGGGAAGAGGGTAGCCATCTACATGCCAAGGAGAGATGCCTTAGAAAAAATACACCTTGATCTTGGGCGTTTAGGCTATAGAATTGTGGGAAAACAATTTCTGTTGTTTGAGACATTTTGTTATTTCTTTTTTTAAAAAATATTTTTATTTCTTTTTTATGTGTATGAGTGTATTGCCTGCATGTATGTAAGTGCATCTGTGTCATGCAATGCCCACAGGTCAGAAGAAGGCATTGGATTCTCCTGGAACTGGAATTATGGATGGTTGTTAGCCACCATGTGGGTGCTGGGAATCTGTAAGCGCAGCCAGTGCTCTTAATCACTAAGCCAGCTCTCCACTCCTACTTTGTTATTTCAACCTTAACTAACAACAAATCCTATGAAGAGCTTTATTTTTTTTTTAATTTTTATTATTTTTAAAAATATTTTATGTATTATTTATTTTTATTTTATGTGTATGTGAGTGTTGCCTGCATGTAGGTAAGTGCATCCATGTCATGCAATGCTGGCGGAGGACAGAAGAGGCTGTTGGATCCCCTGGGACTGGAGTTTCAGACAGCTGTTAGCTGCCATGTGGGTGCTGGGATTCAAACCCAGGTCTTCTGCAAGAACAGCCAGCGTTCTTAACTGCTGAGCCATCTCTCCAGCCCCCAATTGTTTTTAACTTTTAAAAAATTTTTATTTTATTTTTTATTTATTTATTTTTTGTCTTTTTGAGATGGGGTCTCCCATAGCCCCAGCTGTCCTGGAACCCACTATGTAGACCAGGCTGGCCTTGAACTCACAGAGATCTGCCTGCCTCTGCCTCCCAAGTGCTGGGACTACAGGCATGAGCCACCACACCCGGCTCAATTTTATTATTTTTATTTTACGTGTATGCGTGTAGTGCCTGCATGTAGGTAAATGCACCCATGTCGTGCAATGCCCACGGAGGTCAGAAGACGCTGTTGGATCCCCTGGGACTGGAGTTATAGACAGTTGTTAGCTGCCAGTGGGTGCTGGGATTTGAACCCAGGTCTTCTGCAAGAACAACCAGTATTCTTAACCACTGAGACATCTCTCCAGCCCTGAAGAGCTTTACTTTAAAACTTGGTAATAATTATGTTCAAATACTTTATAGATTCTTTGTATCTTGCCTTTTTGGTTGTGAGCCTGAGCCTTTAGTGGCTAAGCCATTGCTCCAGCCCAATTTTGTATCCTTTTAACATATTTTCTTTTTTGTCTTTTTTTTTTTTTTGAGACAGAATCTCCCTATAGCCCCAGCTGGCCTATGTAGACCAGTCTGGGCTTGATCTCATAGAGATCTACCTACCTGTTTCCTAGTGCTGGGATTAAAGGCATGTGCCACCACACCCAGTGGGACATACTACTTTTAAGCCAGATAACTGAGTGTGTGGAGCTATGTGCTGTAGCTATTAATTAGCCAGGAAGAAATTGCGGACAGGTGATTTTAATGTTACCTTAAAATTAGTAATGCAACCTTAATCCCCAAAATATTTAGAACTGAACAGAAAAACCCTATAAATACCAATAAAAAGTCTGTGAGTATCCGTTTCTCTCATTTTGAATTTGAATTATGAAACAATGGTTTCTAAACCTGACTGCTTTTCAGCATCACCTGGAAAACACTTAAAAGCACTGATTCCCAGACTGCTATCTCATATATTTCAATAAAGTAAGATTTTGATAGGGCTTAGGAATTTATATTTTCTAATGCCCTTAGGTGATTCTAATTTTTATGGAGAATCACTGCAATAAAATACAAAGAATGAAAAGAAAGTTTTTTTTCTTTTCTTTCCTTTTTGATTTTTTGAGACAGATTCTTACTCTACAGCCCAGGCTGGTCTGAAAGTATATAACCTAGGCACGCCTAATACCCATGGCAATCCTCCTGCCTCAGCCTCTTGAATGCTAGGATTGCAGGCATGAGCCACCACATCGAGTGTGAGATAAATTTTCAAGCAATCAAGAATGTAGGGAGGACCAAAGGACTGCAACTTTCTACCAACTTATTAGTCTCCGTCAAAGCAGACTCGACTGCAGAATCAAAGTGAGATTATGCAGTAAAGGGTAGACAGTTGAAAACTGGTAAGAAAGATTATATAGTTGTAGCTGTATGTTTACAACCCTCTAGAACAGTCAATATTAGTGCTTTATGTACACATTAAAAAAATAGTTGTTTTACTAGAGAAAGCATGAGTGGAAAACCATACTACTCTTTCATTTAAACACACCCATGGGAAGCTTCAAAAGGTCATTAAAAGCACCACTGTCTTATGCTGTCACCCAGCTTTATTTTATTTATTTATTTTATTTTATATTTTATTTTATTTCATATTTAATTTTATTTTATTTATGTGTATGCATGTATTGCCTGCATGTAGGTAAGTGCATCTGTGTCATGCAATGCCTGCAGAGGTCAGAAGAGGCTGTCGGATCTCTTGGGACTGGAGTTACAGACAGTTGTTAGCTGCCATGTGGGTGCTGGGATTCAAACCCAGGTCTTCTGCAAGAACAATCAGTGTTCTTAATTGCTGAGCCATCTCTCTAGCCTCCACCAACAGCAAAATTTTTAGCAGTTACCAAAGGTGGCATGCCAAATCTCTTCTCTCTTATTGAGACAGGATCTCACTACATAGTCCAGGCTTGCCTCCAACTCTAAATCCTCTTACCCCTGCCTCCCTTGTACTTGGATTACATGAATATGCCACCAGGCCCTGGTGGCATGTCAAATCTTTATGACTTCCTTAATGAGGGTGAGATGCAATAGACTTCATCAACATTTATGGAGTACCTGCTACTTTCAAGGCATCAAAGTAGGTATCTGCTAATATGTCATTTAGGGTAGGTGGTGAAAAGGACAGACACTGGTAATTATTCTTGAGAAGCCTGAGATGTAACATAATTGTGACACTAGACTTCTTTCTTAAATCATAGGCCTTCAACAGTGAGGAAATGGTTAAAAAGAGTAGGAAAGAATCTGGGCAGGACTTAGGACTCTCCTCACTTACTGCCCTTACTTGAAAAATTCACATTATTTAAATAACTATCAATTAATTCTCATTATTCATTACAGTATTATAAAGACAGCTCAGAAGCTTGGTAAATATAATCAGGGAACATATACAGGGAAAGACAGCTGTTGGAGGAGGAGGCAAGCACCACAGGCAAAGTCATCTTTACAACTATTCTATATCCTGCTCTGTGAATGTAATTCAAGATTGCACATGCACCACTTAAATTCTGCCAAATTTTTATTAGTGCCTTACCTTTAATTATTTGAATTAATTTTTTCTATGAAGATATTTCAAACATAAAATTACATTAAGTAGGTATTTATAAAAATAACTGCTTACATTAAAAATTGGCCATCTTGAGTTATATTGTGATTTTCCTCTATTTTGATTAAGCCTTGTTTTATTGCCATGCAGTAGGGAAAACATTTTTTTATTTCAAGATAAGATTATTATGGAAAAGGTATGATCATTTGAATAATGCACCTCACAGAGTTCATGCAAAGACAATTTGTATTGCTCTTTATTACTTGGTAACAATAAGAACATTATGTGATTTCTTAAAGCCTTCTAAGAACAAAAGGAACCATGACTAACCTTTAAGCTCTGGGTAAGGTAGGTATCTAAATGTGATAAGAATCGTGAGCTGAATCAGCACAATCAGCACAAACAAGACCCGGGCCTGCAGAGAAAGACACTGAAATGAACAGATATGCTGGCACAGCTCTAGGGTCAGCTTCTAAACTGGCCTCATTAACCAAATGGAAGTGGCACCATGAGCCTGTGACATAAGAAATATATATTTTAGTCATCATCCTCTGCTCCCAGTCACAGCTCCTAAAACCTTTGTAATTTCATAAATGATAACAGAAAATAGTAAACCATCTTTTATAAAATATTTGGTTTTAGCTTGTTTCTTAAACAGCTTTGGAGTGGGATGTGAAGGAATGTCATCCATAATTAATAACAAGCTCCTTTCAGACACACTTGAGTTCATGTCAGTAAGGTGATCTTTAGAAAGCCTAATTAAGGATGGGGGACTCTTGTGAGGGGGACCATGTGTTGAGGGTTGGCACTGCATCCTCATACCACCCCTTTGCCCTACAGGAGAGAGGGGGTTAAATTAAGCCAATAATTTAAATAATCATGATGACATAATGAAACTTTCCAAGAAACTCTAATTGAAGGGGTTCAGGGACCTTCTAGGCTAGTGAATAAACAGAAGAGCTCGGACGGTGGCATTGCTGGGGAGGGCATAGAAGTTCACACCCAAGCCCCATTCCGTGTCCTGGCTGCCCTTCTATATGGCTGATACTGGGTTGTATCCTTCTTCAATAAACCAGTAATCTAATAAGTAAACTGTTTTCCCGAGTTCTGTGAGTCATTCCATCAAATGACTGAACCTGAGGAACGAAGTTTTAGGAACCTCCAGTTTTCTGGTGGCATCCTTGGACTTGTTACACAAAGGGAGTTGGTGAGCAGGGCAGCCTTGCAGGATTGAGCCCTTAACCTGTGTGTGTGTGGGGGGGGTGTCTATGTTAACTTTTGGAAATTAGTGTTAGAACTGCGTTAAATTGGAGAACACCCAACCTGTATCCACTGAGAACTACAGAATTAGTTTAGAAAATCCCATACATTTGGTGTTAGAAGTATTGTATATGTAGAGAGAGAAACAGAAGGGGGTTTTGTTTTTAACAGCAACAAAAAATATATGGTCAAAGAGAACCAAATATCTGATTCACTGATAAAGAATATTATACATTGCTTAGTATTACTTTTCTGATTTTATTTAGACCAATTTGAAATTTTATAATTATATTAAAATGATAAAATTGAAATTCTTCACCTTCATTATACTAGGACAGGGCTTATTTGTTTTATTTAAAGTTCAATAAGGGGCAGTCTACATAGCAAGCCCCAGGCCAGGTGGGACTATAGGGAGACCCTGTCTAAAAGCAAAACCCCCCAAATAAAACAAAACCAATAGTTTCACATTTTATGTATGTGAGGACATACCCAAAAGCTATTTGGAGGAAGTAAAATTAAGGAGGGTTTAAATTTTCCTCAATATTTTAGTATATGTCTTTTTTGGATTTTGTGTTAATGTTCAGGATAAGGAAGAGCTTAAGGAACTACAATATATCAATTACTGCAGCTTCTCTGTAGACAATTCAATGGTGTATGTTAAAACAAAACAAAAACCAACCAACCAAAAACAAAAAAAAAAACCTTGCTCACTGACTATTTAAGAAATATTTGTTGAGGACTTTCTATGTGGTAGGCAGACCAAAGAAAGACCTCTACCCTCATAGGGCTTACAGTTTAATGAGGGAGATTGGGGGGGTTTGAGGGAGAATACAATACAGTATGTAATTATATAAAAATAGTGTGGCTACTCTTTGATTCAGCAAGTCAGTTATAGGAATTTATCCCATTATTTACCAATAATAGGAAAACTTTTAAATAATTATTTATATAGTAGAGAGAAAAATTAGAAACAACTTAAATTAGGGAATTAGTTAAATAAATTAAGTTATACATTAATGATTTCCCTAATAAACCTTAACATATTGAGTTATATATTTAAAGTATATATTAATATATTCATGTGTATCTTAATATATTTGTGTATATCATACATATGCATTATATTTATATTCAGGTATGTCTTAACATAATGCAGCTAATATATTATGAAATAATATAGTCAGGCACAGTGGTGTGTACCTGTAACCCCAGGTGGTACTCAGGAGGCTGAGGTAGAAGGATTACGTGAGCTCAAATGTTCAAGGCTAGCCTGAGAAACATGGCAAAACTCTGTCTCAAAAATAATATATAAATAATAAAATCACACACACAAAATCCAATTTGATATGAGAAGATAGTCAAGAGAAATTCTGGACTGGTGAGATGGCTCTGTGGGTAAAAGCACCTGACACCAAGCCTGATGACCTGAGTTCAGTCTCTGGGACTCACATGGTGGAAGGAGACAACCAACTCCTGTGAGTTGTTCTCCGACCTTCACACATGCACCATGATACGTGTATACTGCACACACATACACACACACAAATATAATACTTTTTAATTCTTCAATGGTTCAAAAAACAACAGTAACAAACAAACAAAATTTCAATAATAACAAGAAGGATGACAGTCTAACCCGAGGATGGTGCAGCTCAGTCAGAGACTGCTTCCCTCTCACATACAGTGTGTTGTGTTTAAGTCTTAGCACCACCAAAGAAAGTGTAGCATTTACTTTATGTTATTAAAAACTCATGAATAAATGTATGTGAGAGAAAAACAGAGTATTGTAGTGCTAGTGTAATTTTTTTAAATGAAGAGGAATTTCTTTATCTCTAAATTTTCCAAATTTTCTGCATTGAGTATATGTTATTTGTGTACAAAGACATTTTTTTAAATGCCCTAATGCAATTCAGCACCTGTAACTTCCTTAGTTACCTTGGGTTTATGGCATTAGAAACAAGTCTCAAATTACTTGCTTCATCTAATTCAATAAACTTAAAAGCATCTTATTCTTCTACATAAATAGCAAGAATTTTATAAGGTTCAGCTTTCTTGTCACAAGACTGCATTATTTAGAACTTTGCATTTACCAAATCCAGTAAAAACACATGTAGCATTTGACTGAATTCACTCACCACGATGTAGTGGTCAGTAAGGAGAACAAATGATGCCAGCGGATCAAATGTGAGATGAGTATTCTCTTGAACAGAAAATATGTGATGAGTGCTCTTACTTCTTCCAGCAGAATCCTAGTTATAATCACAGCAGAGATGTAACTTGCATGCATACTTAAATATGTATAAGATTCTAATTACTCTTTATTTACAAAATTTTTTTCAACAACAAAAGCGCTCTGGGCTGAGGACCCTTCTTGTCTTCTCACCCTGGAGGCTGAACCCAAGGAGGCAGGGCTGAGAAGCTGCACAGAGGAGAAACTGTAGTGGGACTCAGAGGGGCAGGAGAAAATGGAGAAGTAAAGAAGAGGAAGAGGTTGCAGACATGGCTCAGTTGGTAAAGTGCTTGCCGCTGAAGCATATGGACAAGTTCAATCCCTAGAACCCACATATAAAGTCAGAAATGGGCTGAAGAGATGGTGCAGAGGTGAAAAGTGTTTGCTGTGCAATCATGAAGACTGGAGTTTGGATCCCAGTGTGCATATACAAGCACATACAAGCCAGGTGTCTGACAAATACCTCTAACTATAGCTCCAAGGAATCTTCTGGCCTCTGTTCATGCACAGATGCACATACACTTATACAGACACAAACACACAAACAAATCTGTAATCTAAGTTCTAGGGGTGGGGGAAAGGGATGAGACAGGTGGATCCCCAGAACTCACTGGTTAGCCAGTCTAGTCATGTCAGTGAGCACCAGGTTCAGTGAGGGACCCTATCTCAAAAAATAAAGTAGGGGTTGGGAAGATGGCTCAATGGTTAAAGCACTTGTGCACAAAAATGAGGACCAGTGTTTGGCACCCCCAAACCATAAATGTGGGATGGGCATGGTGGCCCACCTATAATTCTAGCCTCAGAAGGTGGAAATGGGATCATCAGAGCAAGCTGTCTAGGAAGACTAGCCATATTTTCAAGCACTGGGTTTCACTGAGAGACCCTGTCTCAATGACTAAGGTGAAGAGCAATTAAGGATGATTCCCAAGGATGATTTCTGACATACCCATGGGCCTCCACAAAAATGTCCACCCACATGCACATACACCCACATATGCAAACACACACACACACACACATGCACACCACATACACACAAAAATGAAAAAATATTTTTAAAAAATAAGGTAGAGGATGATAAAGACACACAACCTTGAACTCTGCCCAGGTGTGTGTGCATGTACACACATACAAGCACAGAAACACATATACAAACAACATACACACACAAAGAGAGGGAGAAAAGAAGTAAAAGAAAGTAGAGGTAGGTCGAAGGAGAGGAATGAATCAAGGATGTAAAAGAAGGTGAGAAGGTAGGACAAGGAGGAGGAAAGGACGGAGAGACAGCCTCAGGTCTTGGATCATCCATAGATTTTCAAGCTGGACATTAGATTGACTTATTCTGCTATTGGATCAGGTTTTAGGGTACTGAGAGAGACTAGCTCAGTACCACTCTCTGAAGGTTTGTCACTGCAAGGTCTTTCTCAGTATTGAAGGCTGATATTTATACAAATGAAAAAAAATTCTAATAACTTTATCATTTTTCTCTGAATAGTTACCATTTTTTTCATTTAATCCTCTTTATAAGTACTTTTGACAGTAGCTCTTTAAGCCCTGTAATTATAAATTTAAACTGAAAATACCAACTTTTATTTTGAGGTAGGTCTCATACAGACCAGGCTAGCCTCAAATTCAATATATAGATGAGGATGACTTTGGACTTCTGATGTTACTGCTTCCACCTCCAGAGTGCTAGGATTACAGGTGTGTGAAGCCATGGTCAATTTTATGTTGTGCAAGAGATTTGAATCCAGGACTTGTGCATGCTCTGCAAGCACTCTACCAACTGAGCTATATCCCCCTCCTGGCATATAGTCTTTAAAAACAAGCTTCATTTCTCTCTATTCACTGAAAATACCTAGAAGTAATAACAAATTCAATAGCAATGAGCTAGTGGGGCTTGTGCCCACTATAATCTCAAAAATATATGGACCTAGTACACCTGAGTGAAATAGTGGGTTCCAGATCTTTAGTAAGATATGCACAAGAAGAGCATATTGCCATATCATACCAGAAAGACAACGAATAAGTACTACTGTGTCAAAGGACTCTGGTCAATATGAAGAGGCTCCCATTAGGCAAAGATGGAACATTCTGAACAGCAAAAAGAATCAATGTGGAGGCTGGAGAGATGGCTCAGCAGTTAAGAGCACTGGCTGCTCTTGCACCCATATGGTGACCAACAACTGTCTGTAACTCCAGTTTCAGGGGATCCAACACCCTCTTCTAGCCTCTGTGGGCACTGTACCCACATACATACAGGCAAAACACACATAAAATAAAAATAAATTTTAAAAAATCAAGGCAATAGATGAAAACATATTAAATATATAGTTTAAGACTTGGAACTCATGATACTAAAAGTAAATGACTCCTTGGTCACCTGTGGCAAACATTAAAGAATGAAGTCATCATTCTGAAAACTAAGGTTTAGAAAGAATCAAGACTTTCTCCTGTACTTCCTTTATGAACACTTAACTGGATCCTAAATAGAAAAGGGAATTATTTTCTTTACAGAAGTAGTCTAATTAATATTCCTATGATAAGCAGAGAGAATTTTTACCATTCTCTAACTCTAATAAAAGAAATGTCTAGGTAATGATCATCAGTGGCTGCTGAAAACCCTTAGATGCAGAGTTGATGGATAGATAGCTGGGAAGGAATTGACCAACTATTGCATTTTCAGGAAATTTGCAGACTGGTTAGCATTGTATTGGTCACAAAGTAAGCCATGGCTTTACAATCAATATATGCCAATAAAAAAAGAAATGTTAACCAAACAGCTACAGTAGGAATGCTTATACTATGGAAAATGCCATAAATCCTCCCCCACTGAACCCCCATAACCACCCCAAGCAGATTATCAAATATTTCCCAACACATTATTCTATAAGGCTGCCAACCCCAGACTGTACTGATCAATGTTAGTATTACGGGAAGAGAAGCAACCAGATTCAACATTATGGGCATAAAACATCTAGTTAAGTAGTTTGGCCAAAAAATAGACCCAAATCTTATTATACCTCTGGATCCATTTGTGTGAGTGTGTGTGTGTGTGTGTGTGTGTGTGTGTGTCTGGATGTAGGTCAGAGAACAACTTGTGAGTCAGTTGTCTCCTCCTACCACATGGGTTCTGGGGATTGAACTTGGGTCATCAAGTTGGCAGCAAGCACCCTTGCCCACAGAGCCATCTTTCCATCCCCCATCATAAAAAAAACTTAAGACAATAAAAAGAACTTATACTGGTATTTATCAAACTTGTATTGTTTAAAGTTAATTTATGTTAAGATTGGTAAGTTCCTGTTTTAAAATAGGGATTTCTTTTTTTAAATTTTAAGATGTGGAGATTTCTAAAATATAGTCATTGAAGAATTACCTTTTATTTTTATTTATTTTAAGATTTTTTTTTTTTGAGAAGTTGGAGAGATGATTCGGTGGTTAAGAACACTTGCTGTTCTTCCAGAGGACCCAGGTTCAGTTCCTAGCACCCATATGGCAGCTAACAACTGTCCATATCTCCAGTTTCAGGGGATCTGGCACCCTCTTCTGGCCTCTGAGGGCACTGCATGCACGGGGTACACTTACATGCATGCAGGCAAAACACTCATAAAACAAAAATAATAAAATGTTTTTTAAAATTATTGAGACAGGGCATCTCCACGTTGCCTTGATTTCAGTTTCACAAGCAGCTAGAACTCTAGATGCTTGACACTGTATCCCATTTCTGGAGTTTCTGATGCAGCAGGCTTGAAATGAGACCCGAGCATCTGCATTTGTAACATATTCCAGGTGGTATTGATGCTACTACCAAGAACTACTTTAGAAGTAATCTAAAGGTCTATATTCTACCAGGCTGCTGTGCTGGTTATTTTTTATTGTCAACTTGACACAAACTAGAGACACCTGGGAAGAGGGAACCTCAACTGAAGAATTTTCAAGATCAGGTTGGCCTGTAGCCATATCTGTGAGAAACTGTCTTGACTGAAGTTTGATGTGGGAGGGCCCAGCCCATTGTGGGCAATACCATCCCTAGGCAGATGGGTCTGGGCTGTATAAAAAAGCTAGCTGAGCCGGGGGTGGTGGCACACACCTTTAATCCCAGCACTCAGGAGGCAGAGGCAGGCAGATTTCTGTGAGTTCGAGGCCAGCCTGGTTTCCATTAGCAAATCCAGGCCAGCTGCGGTCACAGGAAGACCTTGTCTCAAAAACACCCCCCCCCCCCAAAAAAAAGCTAGCTGAACAAGAGCCAGAGAGGGAGCCTGTAAGCAGCATTCCTCCATGGTTTCTGCTCCAGCTCCTGCCCTTACTTTCCTCAGTGATGGAACTGTGACCTGAAAGTGCAAGCTGAAATAAACCTTTTCCTTCCCAAGTTGCTTTTCCTCGGAATGTTTTACTTTAGCAACAGAAAGTAAGTGAGAATAGCTGCCAAGAACCTATGGGTATTTGATAGATCCAGTGTATAAGTAAAAGACTACATGGCAAGTTCCAGGCCAGTAAGAGACCCTATGCACCCCATTTCACTCCGTAGCCAAAAAAAAAAAAAAAAAAAAAAGCCACACATGGTAGCGCATGCCTTTGATTCCAGTCCCCCTTACAGTTAAATTTTTAAAGTTTAAAAATTACAACTGGAAGCTGGGCATGGTAGCACACACCTTTAATCCCAGTACTAGGGAGGCAGAGGCAGGCAGATCTCTGTGAATACAAGATCTCATCTACACAGTGAATTCTAGGCTAGCCAAGGCTACCTAGTGAGACTGTCAACAAAAACAACAAACAACCAAAAAGGTGGACAGCACCTGAGGAATGACACCAAAGGTTGTCCTCTGGCTACCACATACCACACCCACATGAACACACACATACACACACACACACACACACACACACACACACACACATAATCGACCTAAAAAAAAAAAAACCCAAGAGTTTGTTGCGGTAAGAGCCTAATTGTTGACATAACAAATTAAAAACGACTAACTTACCTGCACAAATACTTCTATGTTATGTGTTCCATTACTGTAGTTTCTGGGGTTCCACTTCAGTATGAAAATAGGACCAGACAAATGAGTAGCTTGGCCTAAATTAACCCCGTCAATCTTAACAGTGACAGAAGTAATGGGGGATAAGGAAAAGGCCAATAATCTAAAATGAGAACACAAATAAGATGCATGGTTGTAGGTGTTTAACATGGTTTTTATAGAGGAGAACAACACTACTGTAAACTGAAAATATACAGGTTCAGGCAGAAACACCACAATGTACACCTGCAGAGGCCATTACAATTTGACAATGAATTAGTCAACTAATTCTTCTTTCAGTATCAACTTCGTCGTCGTCATCATCATCATCATCATCATCATCATTTTGTAGTGTGAAGGGTTGAAGCCAGTGCCTTGCACATGCTAAGCAAGTACCCTATCATAGAGTTACATCCTGAGCTCCAGGAACCATTCTTTTACTTTATTATTTTTTTTTCAGTCTTTTTGAGACAGGGTCTCCCTGTAGCCCCAGCTGTCCTGGAACTCACTATGTAGATCAGGCTGGCCTTGAACCCACAAAGATCCACCTGCCTCTGCCTCCCAAGTGCTAGGACTAAAGGTGTGTGCCACCACACCCAGCTCATTCTTTTACTTTTTAGAAAGCAAAATCAATTTCTCTTGACAAATCTACTTAGAGTAGATTAAAATTTTTTCCTGGGGAAGCTCTTGGATCCCTGGATTTACTCTTAGGAAGAGAATATAAAACAGACATTATACCTTGTTAACCCAATTTCAAGCCTATAATCCACTTACTTGGTTCCTGATGTACTTGCCCAGAAAAAGCAAGGTCATAACCAGGGCTAGGCTACTAGATCTTTCAGATAATGTAACACCTAACATTGATACCCAGATCCCATTAAAAACTTGACCAATTGATGTGTGTTGTTTCATTAGTGACCAAAAACAAATAAGTAGGCCTGAGGAGATGGTTCAGTGAGTAAGTGCTTCACACAAGCATGCATAAAAACTTAACCTCAATCCCCAACATCCACATTGAAAAAAGAAAAGAAAAAAGCCAGGTACGGCAGGGCAAGCCTGTAATCCCAGTGCTGGGGACACAGACACAGGCAGATTCTGGGGCTTGCTGGTCATTCAGTCTAGCTGAATCTAGCTCTAGATTCAGTGAGAGGTATTGTCTCAAAAAATAAGGTGCGAAATAATTGAGAAAGACATCTAACGTCAACTTCCAGCCTCCACGTGCACACACCTGCACACATACAAATGCATATGTGTGTACACACACATATACATAAAAATGAATAAATGCAGACAGATGGGCATTATTTCTTTAAGATTAATTAGTAACTTTTTTTGAGACAGGGTCTCACTATGTTGCACTGGCTGGCCTGGAACTGGCTGTACAGACCAGACCCATAAAGCTCCACCCCCTCTGCTTCCCAATTGCTAGGACTAAAGGCCTGGGCCACCACACCTGGCAGTAAATATTTTTTGTTTTTATTTTTTATATTTATTTATTTATTTAGTGCGCGTGCGTGTGTGTGTGTGTGTGTGTGTGTGTGTGTGTGTGTGTGTGTGTTCATATCATCCTGCACATGTAGGAGTCAGTTCTTTCCATTCTATGGGTCCCAGAGATTGAACTTCAGGTCATCAAGCTTGGTGATACACACCCTTACCTGTATCTTGCTGGTCCAATTAGTAAATATTTTTTAAAGTTTAATATCCAATAAAGGTAAGAATGTTCTGAATTGGCACTCATATTCCTTACTAACATTATAAATTACTATGTTTTTTTAAAAGAAATTGGGTGCCTGGTACAGTGTTAGTGGGAATATAAAATGGTATAAGCCACCAATGAAAGTAATAGGTCAAAGCCAGGTGTGATGGTGCACACTTTTAGTCCCTGTACTAGGGAGGCAGAGGCAGGCAGATCTCTGTGAGTTCAAGGCCAGCCTGGTCTACATAGTGAGTTCCAGGACAGCTGGGGCTACAGGAAGACCCTGTCTCAAAAAGACCAAAAAAAAAAGTAATAGATCAAAATTAACATAGAATTATCATATGAACCAGGCTTGGTGGTTCCTGCCTATAATCCCAGCACTCAAGAGGCAGAGATAGGACATCCACAAGTTTGAGGCCAGCCTGGTCTACATAGCGAGTTCCAGTTCAGCCATGGGCTACATAACAAGACCCTGTCTCAAAAAAACAAAAACAAAAGAAAATAAAAGGAAAGGAAAGGAAAGAAGAGAAGAGAAAAGAGAAGAGAGGAGAGGAGAGGAGAGGAGAGGAGAGGAGAGAGAGAAGAGAAGAGAAGAGAAGAGAAGAGAAGAGAAGAGAAGAGAAGAGAAGAGAAGAGAAGAGAAGAGAAGAGAAGAGAAGAGAAGAGAAGAGAAGAGAAGAGAAGAGAAGAGAAGAGAAGAGGAGAGAAGAGAAGAGAAGAGAAGAGAAGAGAAGAGAAGAGAAGAGAAGAGAAGAGAAGAGAAGAGAAGAGAAGAGAAGAGAAAAAAAAACTATCATATGATCCAGCAATTCTACTTCTGGGTATACATCCAAAAGAAGTGAAAGCAGAGGCTTGAACTTCTAGTCGCAAAAGCAATATTCAGTGTGGCCAAAAGGTAGGTATAGCCCAGGGTCCACTGCTGGATGAAATGGATAAATGGAATGTGGTACATGCAAAAACATCCAACCTTAAAAAGCTACAACATGAGCAAACATTGAGGACACGATGCTAAGTGAATGAGCCAGGAAGAAAAGGACAGATTATGACTGCAGTTATGCAAAGCATTGGAGAAGTCAACTTTACAGTGACAGAAAGTTGAATGGTGGCTTCCAGGGGCTGGGAGAAGGATTGCGGAGTCACTATTTAACAAGTACAGAATTTCAGTTTTAGAAGATGGAAAAGTTCTGCACAGAGATGATTATGGATGTACAATAGTGTGAATGTACTTAGTGCCACTGAGCTGTACATTTAAAAATAGTTAAAATGGGGGCTGGAGAGATGGCTCAGCAGTTAAGAGCACTGACTGTTCTTGCAGAGGACCGGGGTTCAAGTCCCAGCACTCACATGGTGGCTACAAACCATCCTTAACTCCAATTTCAGAGGAATCCAAAGCCCACTTCTGACCTCCGCGGCAATGCATGACACTGGTGCACTCACATACATGAAGGCAGTACACTCATACACATAAAATAAAAACAATAAAATATTTTTTAAAATAGTTAAAATGGCATATGTCTTACCATTATTAAAAAGAGTGATTTTAGTTCCAAAAAAAATTTTTTTAAAAAGTAATTAGGTAATCACCAGGCGTGGTGGTGCACGCCTTTAATCCCAGCACTCGGGAAGCAGAGGCAGGTGGATCTCTGTGAGTTCAAGGCCAGCCTGGTCTACACAGTGAGTTCCAGGACAGCTGGGGCTACAGGGAGACACTGTCTCAAAAAGACCAAAAAAAAAAAAAAAAACAAAGTAATTAGGTAATCTTTATCAGCATTTATTAAGACAGAGTCAGTGAGATGGTTCAATGGGCAAAAGCATGTGCCACCAAGCCTGATGACCTGAGTTCAATCTTCAGAACCCACATGGTAGGAGAGAACTGATTCCTGCAAGTTGTCACTTGACTTCCACATACAAGCTGTGGCATGTCCATGCTCCCCCCCAAATAAACAAATAATAAATAAATATAAAAATTTCATAAGAGAATTCAAACTATCACCTATAATTCCACTTCTACACCACCATTAAGAAATTCTTTAAAAAAGAGAGAGATTATCCAAGTGAAGGAAGAATCTGCTTTTACCAGATGTTCATCCTCACATAAGAACAAACCTAAAATTTCATCAATGGGAAATGGTTAAATTGTGGTATGTTCTCTGTGTTGAAAGAAGGAAGGCATTAGGCTCTGCCCTGTGATTATAATTATATAAAAAAAAACCTATCTATTTAGAGAATGCTTGTGAAGGAGTAACCAGAAATGTAAAAATAGCTCTTCAGGTGCTGGAGAGATGGCTCAGGGGTTAAGAGCACTGACTGTTCTTACAGAGGACCCAGGTTTGAATCCCAGCACCAACATGGTGGCTCCAGTTCCAAGGGATCTGATGCTTTCTTCTGACCTCCTTGGGCATTGCATGACACAGGTGTACTTACAGGCAATACACTCATACACATATAAAAAAAATAGCTCTTCAGAGGTGAACAGAATACACTTATAATACCATCATCACTGTATTTTCTAAGAGTTGTTATACTGGATTGCTTTTCTTCCTGCCTCAGCCTCCCAGGTGCTGGGATTACATATGTAAGTCACCACACATGCCTTAGATTACTTTTCAAAATAAAATTTAAAGGAATATGTATTTTAAAGTGCCCTTACATTTGGATGCTATAATTTTTTTCTCAAAAAAATGTCTCATTAGAATTTTATGAATCAGCAGGGCATGTGATACACACCTTTAATCCCAGCACTCAGGAGGCAGAGCTGGAGGCCAGCATGTTCTACATAGCCAGTCCCAGGCCAGTCAGAGCTACATAGTGAGACCTTGTCTCAAAAATATAAAAATTTTTTTAAATTCTGTTAAAATCATCAGATGGATATATAAACTGAATTTTGAATTTCATCAGGATTATACAGCTTTTACTTTTTTGAAGGTTACACAGCAAAACAGAAAAAGAAAATCCTGATGTATAATGTAGATTCTTTGTTTGGTTTTGAGTTTTTTTGAGATAGGGTCTTCCCGTAGCCCCAACTGACCTGAAACTCACTATGTAGACCAGGCTGTCATCAATCTCACAAAGATGCACCTACCTCTGCCTCTAGAGTGCTGGGATTAAAGATATGGGGGACTGAGATGTAGCTTAATGGGAGAGCAATTACCTAGCATACATAAGACCCTAGTTTGAGTCTAAGACTGCAAATAATAATACCAATCGATGTATAAAAATAATCCATATATTATGATTATAGCAATACAAAAATATACAAATAAAAAGGCTAGAATAAAATACATGGAAAATAATGATTGGCTGATAGGTTTCTGGATGGTTTTAAAGATTTTATCAGCTAAAAAAATTACGTATTTTAGAGGCTAGAAATACAGCTAGGTAGTAAAATACTTGCCTATCATGCATGAAGCACTGGGTTCAATTTCCAATGCAGGCACATATATATATGGAATGGGAATGAAACAGTGAGCAATTCATATGTTTAGGCTTCTGAAAAAACTAAAAAGGACAACAACTTCACATGAGAATATAAGCACGATGACTTATTTTGTAATTTTTTTTATTACTTTTATTTTTATTTTATGTGTATGAGTGTACTGCCTGCATGTAAGTGTGCTCGTGTTGTACAGTACCCGCAAAGGTCAAAAGAAGGTGTCAGAGTCCCTCAAACTGGATTTACCGACAGATGTTAGTCACCATGTGGGTGCGGGACTAACAGCTAGCTTTTATTTCTAGTTATACAGTGAAATGGATAAAACATTCATTAAAGAGCAACCAAAGTTTTCTTTCTTTTTTTGTGATGCCAAGGATCAAACCCCGGGCTCTGAACCCGGGTCCTCTGCAAGAGCAGTTAGTGCTCTTAACCACTGAGCCATCTCTCCAACCCCCATAATGACTTATTGTCTACTCAAATCAGACTGAAAGTATATTCTGAAACATTAAACATACCTGATATGTGTGGAATGGAAGAGTCTTTCTAATGGTTCATGTTCAGCACAACTATAGAGGAATGATTTAGGATTGGTGATAAGAACCACAGGCCACTTGTCAAAGATTAAATCTGCAAAGCTAAAGAGGTCATGATCAAAGGCAAAGATCCGGTACCTAGAAGATAGTAATTTAGTTACTTCATAATGTAAGAAAGCTTGAAGGTGGGCTAAAGCCATAGTGCAGTTGGTAGAGTGCTTGCCTAGCACACACTGGGTTTCAACATTGCATAAATCAGGTGTAGTGGCACACACCTATAGTCTCAGCACTCAGGAGATAGAGGCAAGAGGACCAGATGTTCATGATTATCCTTGGCTACATCTTGAGTTCAAGGCCAGCCTGGGCTACAGAGGACCCTGTCTCAAACAAACTAAATAAAACAAACAAAACAAAAACAAAGAGAAGAAAAGAAGATGTGAAGGTAAAACACAGAACAAATGTAGAAAAACAAAACTAGGACATTTATATGATGCACTTGATACAGAGTAATGTTGCTCCATCTTTCTTTCTCCCCTTTCTCCAGTTGCTTTGTCCCTCACATGTGTCCTATCAGCTGGCTTCTGAATGAGGTGATGAACTTAATGGTGTCCTAGAATGAAGCCTGCACTTTTACACGTCTAAATTAGTGCTTTTTAAATTGGCTCATTTTATTTCTAGACAGTACCTTTTTTTTTTTTTTTTTTTTTTTTTTTTTTGAGACAGGGTCTCCCTCTAGCCCCAGCTGGCCTAGAACTCCCAATGTAAACCAGGCTGGCCTCGACCTCACAAGCAGTTAAGATCTGCCTGTCTCTGCCTCCCAAGTACTGGAACTAAAGGCATATGCTACCATGCCTGGCTTCAGATGGTACTTTTAAGACTATTTTGAACCTATGACATTCATCATAAGCTCAAGATCTGACATTCTTCATTCTATCAACAATGCTACATAAAACATTAAAATATTTTATATGAACAGAAACCATTTTTCATTATTGCTTCAAATTTTTATTTCTGTAATTTCAAAGAAATTAAAGATTTTATTTCTAGTTATACAATGAAATGGATAAAATATTCATTAAAGAGCAACCAAAGTTTTCTTTCTTTTTTTTGTGACACCAAGGATCAAACCCAGGACTCTATACATGCTGGGTAAGTATTCTATATTCTACCACTAACCTTTCCCCAGATCCTCTATTTTCTTTTTGAACTGATCCAATAAATGATTAACCAAGACAGAAACAATAATGCTCGAATACTTTACATACCCTTCAGCATTGCCCGGTCTCCCTGGCATCAGGCTGGGACCAAGTGACTAGCTCTGGCCAAAGGCTTACAAGCAGAAGTGATATATAATATCACCATTCTGGCCCAAAGTACTTGAAGGTGTTGGGTTTTTGGCTCTCTTCTCTACTGTGGAATTGACATGTTGAAATAGAAGCATTATAAATTGGGGGAAGTTGGAATTCCTGATTTGCGCCAAGGAGGAGCTTGCCCTGGCTAACACTGGATTTATAGGAATGAAAAAATAAATGTTTATTGTTTAAGCCACTGATATGTCTCTATTTTTTTAACAACAAGGCCTAGCCTGATATTACTAATATACTATTTAAAAATATTATTCTGGGGTGGGAGAGATGGCTCAGCAGTTAAGAGCACTGGCTGTTATTGCAGGTTGAGTTCCCAGAACCCACATGGTGGCTAATGATCATCTGTAACTCCAGTTCAAGGGGATTTGACACCTTCTTCTGACCTCTGTGGGCACTGCACGACATGAGTGCACTTACACACATGCAGGCAATACAGTCATATACATAAAATAATAATTAAAAAATCATAAATAAAAAATATGTAAATGTTCTTCTGCTGGGTATGATGGTACACGTTTAATCCTAGTACTCTGGAGGCAGAGACAGGAGGACTACCTCAATTTCTAGACCATTCTGGTCTATGTAGCTAGTATCAGGCTAGTCAGGGGCTATATATTAAGAGTGTGCCTCGAAAGAAAAAGAAAAAAAAAACCCTCTATATTCTAATGGTTACATCTTGAAATTTTACATGACATAGTAATGGTAAACATCACTGTTGTAAAGAGGTGTTTAATGTAATGGTAAGGTTTGTCAGATCCATACTGTGATGATCATAGTGTTAGCTGTCAACTTGACAGAATCTAGAGTCACCACAGGGCTCTGTCAGGCCTGTGGGGGACTACCTTGATTTTATTCATTGAAGTGGGAAGACCTGCCTGTTATAGTGTGAGTGGAACCATCCCTGGCTGGGGTCAGCGACTGTATAAGCAAAGAAGAGCCGATTAGTTGGCATGCTGGTCCTGACCAGCTGCTTCAAACCCCTGCTGCCTTGACTTGCTCTTCATGATGGACTACTACTTGAACTATGAACCATAATAAGCCCTTTCTCCCCTCAAATGCTTTTGTCAGAGTATTTAATCACAGCCACAGGCAAAGAAACTGAGATATACATTACATTACATTATTTTATTTTATTTTACTTATTTAGTTTGGTCTTTTTGAGACAGGGTCCCCCAGCAACCCCAGCTGGCCTGGAACTTGCTATGTAGACCAGGCTGAATGAGGGGTGATATACACCTGTAATCCCAGCACTTGGGAGGCCAAGGCAGGAGCACTAAAGACCAGCCTGGGCTATATGGTGAGAACTATCCCCAAAATAACAACCAAACCAAACTAAACCAACAGAAATATCACTTATCAGATTAACAAGGAAAGTGCCACTGTTTTAGCAAAACTTATGTAGGCTTTATTTTACAGGGAAGTTTCCTTACCTTCTATTGTCTTTCCAGTCACCCACCTCAAGTTCCAAAGTGCCCGAGAGGTGACGAGTATGCAAAACGGGCATTAGTCCACCAAGTGTATGAAGGTGCCCACACAAATAAGCTGTAGCCGAACTAAACAATGAAAAATAAATGGAATACATGAACAAAGACAACCTGTGTGCCAGAGTAATAAGAATGTCTCTGCAGGAAAGCAAGACAGACCCAGCAATAGGCAAGAACACAAAACAACCAGCTTTGGTCCTGGAGGTCAGTTTCACCTCATTACTGTCCGGATCCCTGGGGATGGAGAAAGGATAGTAGATGTTGTAAAGTGTCCAAACCAAATTGTCTGGTTGCTCTGACTACTTTCCTTGGATAATGATAAGAGTTCCTCCATCTGTTTCTGAAATGGGAGAAAAATTGAAGGATCTTTAATTAGGGTTCAGGCTAAAATCCAATGTCAACAGATTAAACAGTCCCCCTAAAGTTTTATAACAGTATGTCTCCATGGCCTAACTTCTAGATGGACCCCTATATATGTCAAACTGTTTTCATTTGCATTATAATTCACTTGAGCCTAAAAATACTGAAATGTATAGGGCAGACACTAGCTGCATTTGATATATAAGAAACTCAAAAGTAAGTTAGTTAATCTTTCCCGTTTTGTATACCACATCTCATTTTAAAAAAGGGTACCAAAACCGAATTTCTAAAGCATGTACATATGTTCAGAACAACTTAGCTGTTGTTCATCATAGTCAAATGCCAGAAATCACCAACAAATAGCGATATATTCATACAATAGAATATTCCTCATCAGTAAAAAAGAACTACTGATGCACATAACCATATAGCTATATATCTCAGAGGCATTACACAGAAGATAAGAAGCTAAGGATGCATACTGTTTGATCTCTTTACCTGAAATTTCAGAGTAAATAAAATGGACAGAAAAATCAATCATTTAAAGCTGGGCATGGTGGTACATGCCTTTAATCCTAGCGTTTGGGAGGCAGAGGCAGGCAGAACTCTGTGAGTTCAAGCCCAGCCTGGTCTACACAGTGAGTTCCAAGCCAGGCTACAGGGAGACCGTGTCTCAAAAAGACCAAAAAGAAAAAGGAGGGAAAAAAAAGACACTCTGTACAAGCTTTTAGAGTGGCGGAAACCTTCTAGGCTTTGACTGTGTGGACACTATACCAGCACAGACATTTGTTAGATTCTTAAAAACATTTAAAATCAGTGTATTAGTTAAATGTAAATCATACCTCATATTGCTGATTTTAAACCATAATTTACATATACATAATATGCACTGATATTATCTGTTATATATTTACAGCACTAAGTTTCTGGGCCTTGCCTTCAGGTTTCTAAGACCAGGGAATCTGGTTTTCTAACACTCCAGTTGTTTTTTATGTACCTGATCTAAGCACTTTAAAAATTCTATACTAAGGAAAAAGAGCTAATATAGTCAGTTAATCAACTGACTAAAGGCTCTTTCTAACTAGGAAACAAAATATAATTTTATTTTCTCCTTAATTTTAAGCTCCTTTGAATGTCATATAGCTCTCAACCTTTCAGTACATGGCAAATTCTGCTATTTATTATAGTATTGTATGTACTGGTCTCACTAACACTAGATCAAATCCTCTAAATGTACTCAATCAAATAATAAACTAGCATTTGTTGTACTAAGAAACAGTGACAGGTTCTCAGGTGTGCCTTATAGATCACTGTACTCAGGTAACAATTTTCACTTAGCCTTGTCAAAAATACTTTAGTTGTCCTCTTACTAGAAAAAAATACAGAGACCATTAATTAGCATTGGCAATTGTGGGAAGTGAACAGTATACCATACAGTATGCCAAGATATGTGCTCTGCAGACTTCATCCTGTCCTTAATACATAGTTCAAAAGCGTTTACTGAATAGATATAAAAAGTGAGGCGCTTCCTTCCCAAATTTTGGGATGAGAACAGGGACAGCAGTAACAGCACTAAAGCACTAGTAGCTTCTAGCCATACTAGAAACCACAGAAAACTTTTCTTGAGCATTCTAGATGATAAGAACATGTTTACTGGAGGCTGGAGAGATGGAGTGGTTAAGAGCACTGGCTGCTCTTGCAGAGGATCCAGGTTCAATTCCCAGCACCAACATGGAGGCTAACAACTATGAGTAGCTCCAATTCCAGGGGATCCAACATTCTCTTCTGACATCCACAGGCATTGCACGACACAGGTGCACTTACATACATGCAGGCAATACATTAATACCCATAAAAAAATAAAAATTAAGCTGGGCGTGATAGCTCATGCCTTTAATCCTAGGACTCAGGAGGCAGAGGCAGACAGACCTCTGCATTCAAGGCCAGCCTGGTCTACAGGGAGATCCTGTCTCAAAATAAATAAATAAATAAATAAATAAAGTTTGGTTTCAGCTATAGCTTTTATTTAAAATATAATTCTGGTCACTGCATGTATAATCCAGGGTTAAAAGTAGGTGGCAGGGGACTTCCCTTCTTTCTCTCTTTCTTTTTCTTTCTTTTTTTTAATCTTTTTTTGTGAAGACAGGGTCTCCTGTAGCCCCAGCTGGCCTGAAACTTGCTCTTAACACTCATGCTTTAATCAATTTTTAATTTTTTTTTAATTTTAAAAAAGAACATGTTTACTTAAGATAACTTCAAATGATCCACATATATGAGAAAATAAAAACAAAGCTACAAAGGGAAACAAGTTTTTTTTTAATCATACCTCATCTAAAATTCCAAAGAAATTAAAGGGTCTTTTAGGCCCTGGCCTTTGGGTGGCATCCACAGAGATGAAAGAATAGTTGCCAAAGGGTGTGCTGTGGACATAATGGAAAGAGCCATCCTTGCGCACAGCAGAGTATTTCCTAAAAAATACAAAACAGTAAAGTTTTAGTGTGACTATAATAAGAATAAATTTAAATTCTGTTCTAACTATCAGAGCAGGTTTGGCTTCCCTTTGAAAAGAGATCTACAATCTGAGGGAAATAAACTACATGTACACTGAATAAAAATATTATACTTCAGTGCTTTTCTCCCATTGTCTCCAAAGACTCATCTAAGCTAATTGAGCAAACAAAGTCACCAAACAAAGCATAGGTGACTGTTTTAAACAGCCCCTTAAACATTCACAAAGACTTAGTTCAGACAGTGAACTATCACTTACCAATTTTTGAAAACTTCAGTGGGTACTGGAGAGATAGCTCAATGTTTAAGAGCATGTACTACTCATGCAGAGGGCCCGAGTTCAGTTCCTAACCCATGTTAGGTGGCTCCAACTACCTGTAACTCCAGTTACAGGGCATCTGACGCTCTCTACAACTATCTGTACTCATGTACACATACCCACTCACAGATATGTATTTTTATTTTTAATATTAAAAAAATAATAATAGGGACTGGAGATATGGCTCAGTGGTTAAGAGCATTTATTGCTCTTCCAGAGGACTCAGGTTTGACTCCCAGAACCCTAATGGAGGCTAACTCCATCCTTTACTCTAGTTCCAGGGATCCAACACTTTCTTTTGGCCTCTGTAGGCACCAAACAAATGTGGTGAACTTATATACATGCAGGTAACACACTCATATACATAAAATAATAATAATAAATAAAAACTTTAGTGAGGGTTGCCAATGTAACACAAAGCCCTGGGTTGGCTTCTCAGTGCCCAATAGAAGGGTGATGAGTAGAAAGACTGTAAGTTGGTATAAAGTAGGTACCCATTCACTAATTACGAATAAATAAGGAAAGCACAGGTTCTATTGGGAGCACACCTATGTTATTCAAATATTAGAACCTTGTAAGAAAAGTAGGTATCTTTATCTAAGTATTTTAAATTTTATCTCAGTGCATACATAAGAAATAGAAACATCTGAGCATTGTGGCACATGCCTTGAATCCCACCACTCAGGAGGGAGAGGCTTCTGGAGCCTGATCTATATAATGAGTTTCAGGCCAGCTGGGCCTACAAGGAGACCCTGTTTCAAAAAGAGACCAAAAAACAAAACAAAACAAAACAAAAACAAACAAAACAAAAACCTTCTAAAAATGAACATACATATTTAAAGCCATATTTAAGGAAGAACAGCCATCAAATATAAATGTTATCATAAACATAATATTCAAAAACACTTTCAGAATTAGCTAGCCATTGTGTAACAGTGGGTATTATCTTAGTATTCTCCAAGGATTGAGGCAAGAAGATTTCAAGTTTGAAGCTAGGCTAGGACCTGAATTTGGATCTCTAACACCCAGAGAAAAGCTGGGCTTGTTGGCACGTGCCTGTAACCCAACCCGTGTGCTGGGGAGTGGAGACAGAAGGATCCCTGGAGCTTGCTGGAAGCCAGTTTAGCCAATCAGTGATATCTGAGTTCAATGAAAGACTTTGCCTCAAAGAACAAGGTGAGGACCAGGCATGGTGCTGTGCACCCTTAATCCCAGCACTCAGGAGATCGACACAGACAAATCTCTGTGAGATCCAGGGCAGCCTGGTCTACATAGTGAGTTTCAGGCCAGCTTGGGCTGCAGGGAGACCCTCTCTCAAAAAAACAAAGAACAAGTGATAGAGGAAGATAGAGTGATAGAGGACAGTGATAGACGAAGGCACTCAACATTAACCTCTGGCCTACACACACACACACACACACACACACACACACACACACAAAGGAGCTATTGTTGTGACATGCCTGTAATCTGAGCACTTGGGAGACTGACACAAAAAGATGAGAAGTTCAAGACCATCCTTGACTACACAATGAGTTCAAGGCCAGCCTGAGATAACATGAGACCCTAAAAAAAATTATACAAAACAAATTTAAACAAGGTGAAGTAGTTCTACTGTTTCTCTTCTTGGTATCTTAAAAATTTTCCATTTCAGCATATTATTCCATATTAGTAAATGTATTTGTATTTTTGGCCTAATTTGCTTTTAGTTATTCCTGGATACATCACAATCTTATATATGTTCTTTCTTTCATTTTTAAAAAAAATATTTTATTATTTTTGTTTTTTATTTTATGTGAGTGTATTGCCTGCATGTGAGTGCACCCGTGTCATGCAATGCCGCAGAGGTCAGAAGAGGGCTTTGGATTCCTCTGGAACTGGAGTTAAGGATGGTTCATAGCTTCCATGTGGGTGCTGGGAATCGAACCTGGGTCCTCTGCAAGAGCAGTCAATGCTCTTAATTGCTGAGCCATCTCTCTAGCCCTCCTTCATTTTTTGAGACATTAAAAACCTGTCTTGCTTCCTGGGTCCAGCAGCTTTCCTGGCCATACTTTGAGGCCTATACTAATTTGGTCAGATGGACTTAAAGGACAGTTTTTGCTCCTTGCCCTCCAAGGTCAACTAAATTCCAGGGGACTATGGAGCATCTCCCAAAATGTCCTGTAACTGTGGTGAGTACTGTCCTCTTAATCAAGAAGGCCATGGAGACACCACCTAATCAGATGGACTTGAACCAGTGTCCAGTCTACAAAGAGGAGGGTCAACACAGAGGAATCATTTCCTCCATGCTTCCAAGTGAAGCCATCCACAGTTGAGTAGGGCCTTTAGCTTATCCTCACATAGATGGAACTGGTAGAGGAAAGGAGCCAGGGGCTCCTCCTAAGCCCATGTGACCCCTGAGGAACAGATCCTCAAACAACCTTAAGAGTAAAAATACCTTAAACTACTATGAGAGAATACAGATAAAAAAGAAATGTCCAGCAGAACTGGCTTAAAAGGAATGCTACCCAGAAGAATTTCATAAAATAAAAGCCTATGTTTAAGAAAATATAATTCTCTTTCTAAAATGTATACACTTGTGACAATTAAACTCATATATCTATAACTGATTTTCAACAAGTGCTAAGCTTATTCAATGTGAAAAAGAATTGTCATCTTAAAACCATAACACGAAAGCTAACTATATACATGCAAAAATAAATGGAATGTCATCTGAGCCCACTGCATGGTCTTAAACACCCAAAAGGAAAGTATAACCAAAGATTAAAGGGATCAATATAATTCTTTAAGAGTCCCTGTGTATAGCTAAAGGCTACATAACAAGAAACAATGCCAGACAGGAGATACCTTCCTTTGAGTTGTTGGCCAGAGTGGCCCAAGAGACTCCCAGACAGTAACCCAGCATAGAACTGGGAAAATGAACAGCAGACCCCAATCTTATCTAAAGGAATATTGACAACAGCTTGGTGCTAGATGAGAAACAGCTGATCTTCCTAAAACAAGGAACTCCAGATAGGCTGACTAGACTTAGTGGATGGATAAGCACTGGGGAATGGCTGGGGGCACTGACAACACAGTGGACAGTAACAGGGATGACAGAGTATATGAGCTTCAGCGGAGGGTGGGGGGCATGGGAGGGTGTCTCTTGGGATGTAGGTATATACATGAATAAGATTATTTGGGATGTTCTATATGAAATACACACAAAAAATAAATTTAAGAAATGAGTTATATTTGAGGAAGAAGCATAAAAATTTACTTCATGTTAATTAGTAGATGTGAAAAACATTACCACTGAAATCTACCTGACGACCTTATATCCATGTTCGGGTGCCAAGGATCTCAGAAAGTAACCGACTATGACTAGTAATAATCATATATAGAATTTTTCTGTATGAAACAGTATACTTTAAAAAGAAATGGAGATCTTTTTTAAAGGTTCAAACCTCATTCAATTTTGTGTCTTATAGAGTTTATATTGAGTTCAATATTGTATAACTGTATTAATTCAACTGTGGACTTAAAAATTTACAGACAGTTTTGAGAGGTGCATCTTTGCTCTGGAAATTTTTATTGAATATGTTGCTGTTGTAATGAAATGCTTCTTCTAATTATGTGGTTACTAAATAATTTTTTTTTTAAAACCTGTCTTGGGGGGCTGGACAGATGGCTCAGTGGTTAAGAGCACTAACTGCTCTTGCAGAGGACCCAGGTTCAATTCCCAGCACCCACATGGCAGCTACAAACTGTCCTTAACTCCAGTTCCAGGGGAATCCAAAGCCCTCTTCTGACCTCTGTGGCATTGCATGACACAGGTGTACTCACATACATGCCAGCAATACACTCATACACATAAAATAAAAATAAAAATAAACATGTCTTAGGCTGGGGATATTGATCAGTGGTAAAAATCTTGCCCATGAGTGAGGCCTTGGGTTCAATATTTAATATTGCAATTACAAAAAAACTTTCTAGGTGTGGTGGTACACACCTTTAATCCCAGTACTCAGGAGGCAGAGACAGGTGGACCCTCTATGAGCTCAACAATAGCCTGGTCTACATAAGTTCTAGGCCAGCTGGGGCTACAGAGAGACCCTGTCTCAAAAAAAAAACAAAAACAAAAAATAAACAAAATCTGTCCAAAATAACAACTATTTGAATATAGAGGCTGAAATATTTTATGTTAACATTTTTTTGAAACAGGGTCTCATGTATACCCAGGCTGGCCTTGAACTTCTGAGCCTCCTGACTGCTGAAATTATGGGCATGTACCACCATGCCTGGTTTATGATGTGGTCCAACACCCCATCTTTTTTTTTTTGAGACAGGGTCTTCATGTAGTCCTATCTGGCAAGGAACTCACTATGTAGACCAGGCTGGCCTGGATCTCACAGCTATCTGACTGTCTCTGTCTCCTGAGTGTTGGGATTAAAGGCAAACGCCACCACACCTGTCCACAATCCATCTTTTCACATGACAAAATTTTCACTCCTTTTATAGTCTTCTCTATGTCTACCATGTGCTGATTTCTGCCTTTTCTCATTTCTCACAGTGATTATCATTATTTGTGAACCAAATAATGCAGCATTTGACTAACCATTCCTTCATGTACTTTTCTAATTGTTCCCTAAACCCATCTTATTTTCCTTTGGTATTAATAGAACATAAATTCCTTGAAAGCAAAGGCCAATTTTTTTTTTTGTCTTTTTGAAACAGGGTCTCCCTGTAGCCCCAGCTGGCCTGGAACTCACTATACCAGACTGGCCCTGAACTCACAGAGATCCACCTGCCTTTGCCTCCCAAGTGCTGGATCTACAGGGGTGTAGTACCACGCCCAGCAAGGCCAAATTTTTTAACATTAGCTCATCTATCCTTTAGACTGCACAACTAGTGAGGAGCTCTTAATAAACACTTAGTGTTAGCCAGGCGTGGTGGTGCATGCCTGTAGTCCCAGCACTTGGAAGGCAGAGGCAGGCGGATCTCTATGAGTTCAAGGCCATCCTGGTCTGCATAGTGAGTTCCAGGACAGATGGGGCTACAAGGAGACCCTGCTTCAAAAAGACAAAAAAAAAAAAACTTAGTGTTTAATTCAATGATATCGTAGAATAAAATTCTGAATACCCTCGAAGGGAAAGTGAAATTGTAACCAAAAGAAGACTCTTGATGCACCAAAACTATAGAATTAGTTTTCTAACAAAGTGATTAACCTTTCTAAGATTTCTAACCTTTTTCACATTCAGAACATATAAGGAAAATGTTAATGTTTATATTAATGGGATGAAAGGAAAAAGCAGACAGGGGTGACCACTGAGCCCTGTGGCCACCCCAGAGACTGAGAGAATCAGCATCTCAGCATCCTGAAACCCCACTGACCTCAGGAGTGGGGTTACATGCTCTGATCTAAATACATGACTTCTATTCTGCACCAATAGCAACAAAAAAGAGTCAAGCATCATGGTTTATGCCTGTAAATTTCATCATGTTGAAAGGCTGAGGCAGGAGGATCAGAAGTTTGAGACCAGCCTGGGCAAAACACCAAGTCCAAAAGAATTAAAGAAAACAATATTAAAGAAAAAGGACCAACTTACATGCAAAAGAGAAAGCTCATTTTCTAAATCACCAAAGGTTCTTGATACAGAAATTGCATCCGTTAAAAAAGATTTCACAGAATGTAGAGATGGCTCAGAGTTAAGAGTATCTGCTGTTCTTCCACAGGACTTGAGCTCAGTTTTTATCACCCATATCAGGTGACCTGTTAACTCCAGCTCCAGGGGATTGGACACCCTTTTCAGGCCTCTGCAGACACCCACACATATGGCATACATTCACACAGACACACATACACATATACATAAATAAAATATTTTTTAATACATATTTTTAAATTTTTATTTATTTTTATTTTATGTATATGCATGTATTGTCTGCATGTAGCTAAGTGCACCCATGTTGTGCAATGTCCTCAGAGGTCAGAAGAGGCTATTGGATCCCCTGGGACTGGAGTTAAGGACAGTTGTTAGCTGTCATGTGGTTGCTGGGATTTGAACCCAGGTGTTCTACAAGAACAACCAGTGTTCTTAACTGCTGAGCCATCTCTCCAGCCCCATAAATAACATGTTTAAAAAATGATTTCACAGCTGGGTGTGGTGGCACATGTCTTTAATCCCAGTAATTGGGAGGCAGAGGCAGGTGGATCTTTGTGAGTTTGAGGCCAGCATGGTCTACACAGCGAGCTCCAGGCCAGCTGGGGATACAGGCTGACCCTGTCTCAAAAAGACAAAAAATAAAAAATAAAAAGCTGGAGAAATGGCTCAGTGGTTAAGAACATGAACTTGCTGAAGACCAAGGACCCAGGTTCAGTTCCCAGCACCCACATGGTGGCTAATAACTGTCCATAACTCCAGTTCCAGGGGATACAATGCCCTCTTCTGGCCTTCTCAAGCACTGCATAACAGGAGTGTACTTACCTATATGCAGGCAAAACACTTATAAAATAAAAAATAATTTTAAAAAGATTATTTCATTCATTCATCAAATTTACTGCACCCTCCTTGCAACAGACTCTACTTAGTGGTCTGTATTCTGTTCATTTCAGTACCTGTAATAATTCTTGACGCTCTCCAGACTTGGAATGTTATATGCATCTAGAAGAAAAAAAGCAAATATTCATTTATACAAAAAGGAAATGGAAACATGTTAATGACTAAAGAAGATAACAAGACTTCCTATAACACTTTAAATGTTAGCGTGTCACTCAGATAATTTTACAAACAATTAGCTTAATAGAACTCTGGAAGCTTTAAGCCACCTACTATACTGCAGAATAATAGGTACATTTAAATTTTGTCCAGAGTAAGACAATTTGAAGTTATTAGACTATACTGTTGCTGGTGCTTGTGTGGAACTTGCTGTATAGCTTAGGTTAACCTCAAATTCTCATTCATCCTACCTCAGCCTCCATAGTACTGGGATGACAGGCATGTGGTACCACACCTGTCTTGTTGCCTCTATTTTAATCATGGGATTCTAGAGTCAGAAAGAAATGAATTCATGTTTGATCTATAACAAGTGCTCTTAAACAAAGATCACTTTGATATATTGGACAAAACCTCTCCTTAAATCTTAAAAAAAATTTCAATGGGAAAGGGGTTACGAATAGGCAGGAGTAAAATTAATGATATCACAGAACACTAATCTGGAAATACAATGATTTCATAGAGTTTGAATGCCTAGCTGCAGTGGCCAAAACTGTTAACCATATTTGACTTGCAGCAATTCACTTTATTTTATTTTTAATTTTTACATTACATTTACTTATTGGGGAGGTTGCACCACAGTGTACAAGTGGTTAGAGGTCAGAAGAAAACTTTCAGGAGTCAGTTCTGTCCTGCCACCAAGTGGAACTGAACTCAGGTCATCAGGATTGGTAGTAAGCGCCTTTCCCTGCCTGAGTCACCTCATCAGCCCAATCCACTTTATTTTTAATGCCCTTATAAAATAAGCTTATAGCTTATTTAAATCAGGTCACACAAATTATTACTGTGAATGCATTTTTATTGCTAAATAAGAGAATAACTATGTTATAGTTAAATCTTAATTTAAAAAACTAACTTCCGCTGGGCGTGGTGCCGCATGCCTTTAATCCCAGCACTCAGGAGGCAGAGGCAGGCAGATCCCTGTGAGTTCAAGGCCAGCCTGGTCTACATAGTGAGTTCCAGGACAGCTGGGGCTACAGGGAGACCCTGTCTCAAAAAGACCAAAAAAACCAGCTAACTTCCTTCCCTATATTAATACAGTATAGAAATACACATATAGACTCATACCATAAGCATTTATGCCTGTACTAGTCAAATAACATTAGTATGATCTCAAAAGTAGCACATGAGCAACTCATAAAAAATCTTTTGATATTTATTGCTTAAATTGTTAGTAATTTGGGTTAGAAACCTTTAAAAAAGACATGGTGGTGTGCACCTTTAATCCCAGCCCTCAGGAGGCAGAGGCAGGCAGATCTCTATGAGATTGAGGCCAGTCTGGTCCACATAGTGACTTCCAGATGAGCTGGGACTAGGTAGACCCTGTCAAAAAAAATACAAACACACACACACACACACACACACACACACACATTGGGGCTAGAAAGAGAGCTCTATGGGTAAAGACACTTTACTCTTAGCCTGACAACCCAAGTGTGATTTCTGGAACCCATATGGTGAAAGGATAGAACCAACTCCTGCAAGTTGTTGTCTGACCTCCTCCATACTCATGCTGTGGCACCTGCACCCACCCAAATAAAATAATTGTAAAAAATAAAATATATATGTATTTATTATTTATTACAAAAGAACTTGGCCAATATGACTCATTAAACTTAGGGCGGAAAAGGGGAAAATGTAAACATATCAGAGAAAGCTGTAAGCCAAATATCCTATTCTAATTTGTAATTCCTAGCTGCTTTGTAAGAACTATTTATAAACAGGGCGTTTTTCTGACCAAACCAATTGCTATGCATTTCGGAAGGATTATCTTTTTAGAATGATAGTTTTTTCAGAACTATGAATAGGTGCTTATCAGCAATGAATTATCAAATAAAGCAGATTAAGTAATAAGCAAGTCAACTTTTTAAAAACTTTTATTTATTTTTATTTTATATATATGAGTGGTCTGCCTTCATCTATGTAAGTACATCCATGTCATACAATGCCTGTGGAGGCCAGAAAAGGGCATCATATCCCCTGGAACTGGAGTTACAGATGGTTGTTAGCTGCCATGTGAGTGTTGGGAACCAAACATGGGCCTTTGGAAGAGCAGCCAGTGCTCTTAACCTTCAGCTATCTCTCTAGCTCCATAATGAACAAGTCAAAATTTATAAACAAACTATGATCAAGACTTCTGGGGAAAAGCTATTTCCTCACGAACACAGAAATGATCCTCTAAAAAAGTGAAGGGAGTATCCATGTGTGGGGATTGTGTACAATTAACTTTAATTTTCTTAATGTATTAAAATTCTTTCTTTGCATAGGTTAAGGTACTATAGCAGTCACTGTTTAGATGTTCTTGCTTCTTGCTGTGTGTGTTTTTATAGTAGATGGAATCCCACTCAAACTGGTCAACAGCCCATAGAAAACATGGTGCAGAGACCTGAAAGTTCAGTGCCTTGCCACAATGGGAGGAAGATCATCCCACACCTACTACCCCCTCCAAGGCACAGGGACTTTTGCAGAAGAGGTTGGTGGAAAGAATGTAAGAGCCAGAGGAAGAGGTGGAATGTTAACTGGAAATGTTCTCCGACCACTATTCTGGCAAGCTATAGTCATACCTCCTTCCCACTCTCATCAAGGAGTCAAGGGAGGAGTCAGTTACCCCTTCTACACAATCAGTCAACCTTAACTGCATATGGGGGGAGGGGCAAAGAATATATAAGCTGAGAACAGCAGGAGTCACCTCTCTCACAATTTTGTGTGGCTGTCGGGAGGTCAGAGGATCTGTATTTGAGTGTGGACTTTAGGGTGCAGCCATAAATGTGGGGTGTCCACTCTTCTGTAAATAAACTCCTACCTTATGCTCTGTTAAAAAACATAAAAAATTCTGGGGCTGGAGAGGTGGCTCAGCAGTAAAGAGCACCGATTGCTCTTGCAGAGGACTCGGGTTCAAGTCCCAGCACCCACATGGTGGCTATGAACCGTCCTCTTCTGACCTCCGTGGCACTGCACGACACAGGTGCACTCACATGCAGGAAATACACTCATACACATAATACAAAAATAATAAATAAAATTTTATAAAAAATAAAATTCTTTCTTTGCAAGATATGGCTTTATGGATTTTTCTTTCTTTCCTTTCTTTCTTTCCTTCTCTCTTTCTCTCTCCTTCCTTCCTTCCTTCCTAGACATCTGGAACCCCCTATGTAGCAGAGAATGATCTTGAATTTATGATCCTCTTGCTTTGTAGGAAGTGCTGCTACACCCAGTATGCAGTTTTGAGGAATCAAATCAAGGCCTCACACATGCTAGGCAAGTACTCTACCAAGTGAGCTACACCCCACAGGCCCAGTTCTATGGATTTTCACAAAAGTCATGTATTCAAGACCACAATCAAAATACAGAACAGTTTAATCACCCCCCAAAATCTCTTATGATACCTTTGTAATCATTTTCTCCTCCTATCCCTACCTCTGGCAATCAAAACTGATTCTCTGCCTATAGTTTTGCCTGATTGTCATATAAACAGCTTCATGCAGTATGAAGACATGATTTTGGCAGAAGGTTTTCTTCCATGTAAAGAAAATACCATTGCAACTTTCATCTCAGAGGCTAACAGTGGCATCTTTAGTTTTAAAATCATGTTATAGCTGTGTGTACAAGATAGAGCCTTACTATATCTAAATTTATGTTATAATTTCCTACTTTATAATTTTACAACTTAAATTGGGGAATTTATGTTCCCGAAGGAAAAAAAAAATGTAGGCTTTATTATACCTGGCTCTTGGCTCTTACCATGATTGCCTCTGATATCCAGCCACTTGGTTTTTTCCATGACTCTTGTCCTCTTCAGAATTCCCTGGTAAGTTTGCCATTCTACTTCTTGTTGCCTGGATCCCAACTGTTCCTTTGTTTTGGCATCTGTCAGGTCACCTGTAGGATTAAACAGAATTATACCATAATGTAAAATAAACTCCAGGGGGCTCAATTTTTTTAAAAAAAGCACACAAAAGGAACAAAAATTCTTAAACCACTCAACATAATCACTTAGCATAATCACTTAGAAGTCCTCATATATCCAAAAGCAAGCCATTTAAGAAGATTGTCTCAGCAAGGGCTCTGTTTAGTGTTGGTTAACAAATGCCTATTTAACTTTTTGAGATAGTAGAAGCCAGTTGTGAAAGAAAATGTCTTTAAAGAGAGCAATAAAGGGGCTTGAGAGATGGGTCAGTGGTTAAGGCCACTGGCTGCTCTTTCAGAGAACCCGGGTTTGATTCCCAGCATCCACATGGCAGCTAACAACCGTCCATAACTCCAGTTCCAGGGGATTCAACACCCTCTTCTGACCTCTGAAGACGTTGCATGACATGTGCACACTTGCATAGATGCAGGCAATATACTCATACACATAAAATTTTTAAAAAGAGAGAGCAGTACAAAATGCAACTTAATAGGGGCTAGAGAGATGGCTCAGAGGTTAAGAACACTGGTTGTTCTTGCAGAAGACCTGGGTTTGAATCCCAGCACCCACATGGCAGCTAACAACTGTCCATAACTCTAGTCCCAGGGGATGCAACAGCCTCTTCTGACCTCCAAGGGCACTGCAGGACACAGGTGCACTTACCTACATGCAGGCAATACATGCATACACATTAAAAAAATAAATTAAAAACAAAACAAAACAAAATGCAACAATAGACAAACAAAATTAAACTCCTTTATGAGGCATTGTAACATTCTGGCAGGTGCCTATTATCTATTACTTTCCAAACCCCAAATCAGGGTATGTGATGTCACCAAGCATTATTTTCAGAGCAAAAATCAATCTGGAAGGTGTGGTTTGAACAATGAAATGCCAAAATTTCTAAGAAACTAAACAGAACACTTGAAATAGGGGCCCGTTCATTAACAGAGAACTGATAACCCCATCTTTAACAGTAGAGGTGTTTGGTAGGGTGAGTGGCAGTAAACAACAGATGCTCTTTGAAGGTCTTTCTCCCAAGACTTTTGGAGCACATGTTCAAGGGATTGAAGAGTCTAAAAAATCCAGTCAAGAAAAGTACCAAGAGATGGAGAGTCACCTCAATCCTCAAACAACTGAAAATGTATGATTAACTTATATGCAAAGAAAATGGAAAGTTGGCAAAGGAGAACTTTTGATTCCTGGTTACAGGGCTTACCCTAACTCTCAAATCCAGCAAAAGCAAGAACCATCACCAAAACACAGACAGAAATATAGCAGACAACACACTGTCATGAGCACCATCAGCCTATTTCTACTGATTTGACAAAACCTTGATATGGCGAAGCATTTAGTTTGGATCCAGATTCCATTATCCTTAGACAAAGGCAATTAGAAGTCCCATTGCCTCTACCTCAAAGGGTTCACGGGGCTCTGAACACACCACGGGAACCAATGAGGCCCTGGCTAGGGTTCCACGTCGGAGCACAGAACACCACCACAGCGCGGCAATCCTCCCTACCTGTGGCTAGGACGAGAGCTGGTTGAATGGTGTCAATAGTTTCTGAACAGAACTTCTCTAAGTCTACCGCTCTGCCTGGATCTCGAAACCTGCTCAGGTGAATGTCGGATATCTGCCAAAAGCAGGTATTGAACAGAGACAGATACTATCAGGAAGAGGCAACGTGGGCAGGGGTGGCCCGGCAGCTCAGGCGGAGGTGCAGAGCACCAACACTCCCAGGACCTCACGAGGCCCGAGCCCTGCCTGGCCTCCGCGAGCAGCGCTTCAGAGCCTCCCCGCCGCCCCGGGCTCCCGCCGCCCCGGGCCCCCGCCGCGTCACCTGCAGACCCCAGAAGATGTGGCCGTTTCCCGGGCCCGGCGCGGGCTGCGGCCTGGGGGCGCCTCGAGGCCTCGGCAGCGGCGACGGCGGCCCAGCCAGGCCGTAGTGCTCCAAAAGCAGGGCCGCCAGCGTCGCAGCCGCCAGCCCCGCCACCACCCTGAAGGCCAGCACCGCTGCCATCACGCCACCCTGCCCGCGCTGTGCGGCCAGGCTCCGCCGCACTTCCGGACTCTACGGTAGCGGGCCGGGACCGCGCAGCCACCTCTCCGGCGCCGTGCCCCGGGCTCCGCTGTCCGCCGCTCCGTTTGCAGAAGTAGGAGGCGAAAAGGAAAGCCAAACTAAAGCCGTAGACGGCGGCCGACGGGAGCCGGCAGGCAGCGCTGGACTTGCAGCTGGGAAGCGGCGAGACTCGGCTCTGCCTGGGCCAGTCATTCCTGACCCTGGCGTGGCCTCTGCACCAGTAAAACGAAGTTAATGATACCTTCCGTGCATGCGGACTTGGGGGTTGTTAGGAGAATCAAAGTGAGTCTGTATGAGGACGCCTCTTAAATTTCTATGCAAATATGACAGGTGGCTCACTCTGGCCTCTTCTGGAAACAGCATGATCCCACAGGCTTTCCAAATCTTGTGAAGATTATCTTTTCCTTAACCTGATTTTATATGTACTTGATTATATGATATTGTGACACTGTGATATGCCTTTCAATAAATAACATATTTCCTATAGGCCAAGAGTAGGAAGGTTCAGGCTAGACCTTATCTAGCCACTCCCTTATTGTTGGTTTTCAATTGTTTATCATGTGTTGCTGTTCTGAATAAGCATTCTTATATAGTGTATTGTATTTTTTAAATTTCCTTTATTTCCTTGGGATATATTGCCATTGGGGTTTATGCCAATTTTGGCTCATTAAATACTTTTTCAGCATCTCTGGACTATAAGTCATTGATCTAAACAGAAAACATCAAGAACCATAAAAACCATGGCCCATTATCTTAGAGGCATATATGTGCTAGAGAAATATACAAGTAGTGTAGTATAAGAATGATATGTTGGCCGGGCGTGGTGGCGCGCACGCCTTTAATCCCAGCACTCGGGAGGCAGAGGCAGGCAGATCCCTGTGAGTTCAAGGCCAGCCTGGTCTACATAGAGAGTTCCAGGACAGCTGGGGATACAGGGAGACCCTGTCTCAAAAAGACAAAAAAAAAGAAAAAGAATGATATGTTATTTGCTACAAGAGACTACAAGCTATAAAAGGTTATACCTTTTATATGGAGAGACAGCTAGGCAGTTAAGAGCACTTACTGCTCCTGCAGAGGACCCAATTTAAGGTCTCACTACCCACCTGGCAGTTCACAACCACCTATAACTTCAGTTTCAGGGGACTCAATGCCCTCTTCTGCTCTCCTTAGGCACCAGGCATGCACACGGTGCACGTACATGCATACAGGCAGGCAAAACATTCATATGCATAAAAATAACATCTTTAAAAAATGAAGATGATGGGAAGGTTAAATGGGGAGGCATATCTCTGGAAAGAATCAGGAAATGTTTAATTAGGAGATGGCATATAAAGATGTATAATATTTCTGACTGATGGAGATTGATTTGGAGTGAGAAGAACCACTTTTCACCAAGAACTAACAACATAACTGGAAGCAGTCAGATAAGAAAACACAAGACATGTTGAAGAAACAATTTCAATTGGCATGGGCTATGTTCTACATGGAGGAACAGTGGTAATTAGAAAAACCCTTGGCTTGAGCCACATGGTATAAGGCCTCTATAAATGCCAAGAGTGAAGATAACAGAATTCTGCTTTGGAAAGGTGGATCTGGCAATAGTATTGTGACCCAAATGGGCAGAGCACAGGTATAAACAGAATCCTTCCAGAAAAATCACAGTAATAAAGACCTAAGAAAGAAGATGGGAGATTAGAAAAAAGGGGTCAGTTGTAAAAAAAGTAATTGTAAATATAGAAATTAAGGGGACTGGGGATGTAGCTCAGTGGTACAGCAGTTTCCCTAGCATATGCAAGGGCCTGGGTTCAATCTCGGGCATGCAAGAAAAAAAAAAGTGCCAAAATGAGGAACCCTAGTGACTGAGAGACCAGGGTGATAGTGTTATCTGTTGGAAGTGCTGCCCATATCAATAAAATAATCATTATTTTTTGCATGTGCAAATGTGAGGGCACACATATATGTACATGTGCTTGTGTGTGTACATGTGTATGAAAGCCAGAGAGTCATGTCCAGTGTCTTAATCATTCTCCACCCTATATATTGAGGCAGGACTGCTCAGTTAAACCCAGAGTTCACTGATTCGGCTAGTCTAGCTAGCCAGCTTGCAGGAATCCTGTCTCCAACTCCAATCAAGCACTGGGATTACAAACCGGTCACCACACCCACCCTAGCAATTATGTGAATTCTGGTTGTGGGGTGGGGGTGTTCTGAATTCTGGTCTTCATGCTTGTGGCAGTAAGCACTTTACACACTGAGTCATCTCCCCAGCCTCAGATAATTATTTTTGGTTTTAATACCATACTACCAGCATCTGGATGAGCATTTCAGATCCAAATTTGGAAGATATGATTGACATGACCTGATTTCAAATACAGGCAACGTGAAATGCATTTGGAAAGGCCTTACAGGAAATGAAGAGAAGTGAAATCATTTAACAGGATAGGATGAAGAGGCTATGTGATGACAGAAACAGACATACCATTAAAGAATCCTGGACAGAGAAACAAGGTTCAAAGTCACAAAGGCCAACATTCGGAATTTCACATACTGAACTGTACTTCCCTGGAAATGATCAAAGTGAGTAGGAACAGAAATTTATTTAATGATGGCTAATGATTCTCCAGGAAAATACTGGTTTGACCAGCTAATCACTATAATTCTGTATAAAAGAAGGCTCTAAGTCTCTGATAGTCAACAACTAAGGGTCAATACGTTACTTGTTATCTCATTAAAAAAAAGCAGACAGCAATTCACCATGAAAGCCACCTTACCTAGAGCTAGAGAGAATTTGACAATACAGTGTATATTGTCACCAATAGCATAAATTGAAGTGATTCTCATAAACATAAGATGTAGAAATTGTGTTAAAATCCCTATTTCTTCTTCTGAAATTGTTAAATTTTTAAAAATAATTTTATTGAATTTTTGTGTATTTCATACATAAAATCATCTTTATACCCCCTTCCCCTTTGACACCCTCCTATAGCCACCCCACTGGAATTCATACATTGTATCATTTGTATTAAGGCCTATTATGTAAAGTTAGTGTCCTGAGATGTCTCTCAGTACAAGTTCATCCACTGAGGTTTAGTCAGCCTATCTAGAGTCTCTTCAAGAAGATCTGCTCTTTCTCACCCAGCAGTAATCAGCTGCCAATAATTCTTTGACTAAATTGGGGCTTTTGGTTCATTTCCACAATTCTGTGCTGGGGACATTGTTAATTTTTTGTTGTTTTGGTTTTTTATTCTTGTTTTGAGACATGGTCTACCTGTAGCCCCAGCTGACCTGGAACTCACTGTGTAGACCAGGCTTGACTTGAATTCACAGAGATCCACCTGCCTCTGCCTCCTGAGTGCTGGGATTAAAGGTGTGCACCCCCACGCCCGGCATTGTTAAAATTTTAAATGTGATATTAACTCATTGTTCTATGAAGTAATTTCTATGGCAAGCTGAAGTAATTTAATCAAAACTGGTAGTTTTGTGTGTAAAGACTTACAAAATTTTAAAAAATTTGTAATAAAATACACATGAAATTTACCACCTTAACCATTTTTAAGCCTACAGTTTAGTAGCATTAAGTACCTTCATACTATTGTGAAACTATCACCATCATCCACCTGCACAATTCTTTTTTGATTTTTTATTTAATTTTTGCTATTTTCATATTATATAATTTGATGGTATTTAGATTCCCTCCCCACACCTACTTTATTACCCGCTGCCCAATTTAATGTATTCTACTAAGGCCTATAGAGTTTAATTTGTGTCTTCAAATATCTTTCAGTGTGGGTCCATCCACTGGAACCTGGTTAACCTACCAAGAGTCTCATTCTTGAAAGAGATTATCTCTCTCCCTCCCAGCAGCCATCTATTGCCAAAATTTCCTTAGGGTGGGTTGGGATTTCTTATCCACTTCATCACGTCTATGCTGGGATTCTGCCTGGTTTGAACTTGCATGGGACTTGTGCATGCTGTCATCATTGCTGTGAGTTCATATGAGTAACTGACCAGCTGTCTGGAAAATTCTGTTTCCTTGTGGTCATCCACTACCTCTGGCTCTTACATCTTTCTGCCCCTTCTTCCAAAATGATCCCTGAGCATTGGGAGGCAGAAGTTTGATACAGGTGTCCTATATTCAGGGGTAAGCGCTCTGCAGCCTCTTATTCTCTGGACCCTCAAACAATATTGGCTATTTCCCTTGTTAGTTACCCACCATAACTTGATGGTAAGACCCTATTGCTGAAGACAATGCATACATAAGCAGTAGAAAAAACAAGGAGAAAGCAAGCTAGTGCTGAGTTCAGTGCTTCATCTCTATGGTTAGCTTTCATAGTGCTGGAAAGTGCTATGCATGCTACAGGAAGTGAAAAAAATAATCATCAGCCTTACCCAGCTGTGAATACTGTGACCTACAACTGGCCTGGCAAGATATGCAATAGTGGCATGAATATTATAGGAATAACCAACCATTCCCTAATTGGATTTAAGGTCTACATCATAGGATACAGTCCATACCTGACATTGATATCAGGCTTAGGAACCTGAAGCTAGACAGGTCACAAGACACAGGGGAGAGCCTAATACTAGTTTTCTACAAAGTAGTTATGGTAATAAACTGACTCCTAATGACTTATTGTTACATCCATAGATTAATGTATCGCTCAACTCTCAGCAGATGGTGATCAACAAAGAAACCCACAACTCTTCATTATCCTTCATGAAACGATGCCCATTAAACATTAACTCCTCTCCCCTCCATTCTTACTCCAGCCCTGGCAAACATCATTCTACTTTATATTTTTGTGAATGTGACTGCATAGAATCGATTCGATTCTTAGAATCATGCATTTGCACTTTTGTGTTTGGTTCTTTCATTCAACATGATGCCCTCAAGTTCCATCCATGTTTAACATGTGTCAGAATCAGAGTTGTTGTATGTATATTCTGCATTTCATTTATGCATTTGTCTGTTAGTGGACACTTGAATATTCTTACTTTTGGCTACTGTAAGCCATTTCTAAGTTATTTTATTAATTATCTAAGAAAATTCTGTGGTTGAATCAAAAAGAAAATGGCCATATAACCACTATGGATTAAGATAGTCAAGGCAAGTCTCAATAATATTAAATCCATTCTTTATATCCACTTTAAGCATATGGGACAGGTAAAGAGATGATCATAAAAGCTGCTGTCTCTCACATTTCTGTGGTATGCATGCTATCCTGCTACTCCTGCAGTGAGACATGAATCCACAAAACTCAAAAAAAAATGCAAAGGGGGCTGCAAAGATGGCTCAGTGGGTAAGAACACTTGTCACCAAGCCTGATGACCTGGGACCCACATGGTAGAGAGAACCAACTCCAGTAAGTTATCCTCTAATTCACCTCCCCAACACACACATACACTAATGAACTAGCTAAATAACTGAAATTTTAAAATGTTTTTTAAAATGCAGAGGACTAGGCCGGGTGTGGTGGGGCATGCTTTTAATCCCGGTACTTGGGAGGCAGAGGCAGGAGGATCTTTGTGAGTTTGAGGCCAGCCTGGTCTACATAGTGAGTTCCAGGACAGCTGGGGCTACAAGGAGACCCTGTCTCAAAAAAGATTTAAAAAAATGCATTTAACGCCCTTACCAAAAATTAGAAGATGC